CTTTACACCATGACTTACGTTACTACTTAGACTATTAAAATATATATATTCTAGTTGTGCTATAAATATTACGGTTAGTTATTGTTAGCTTTATATTTAGGTGCTAGAGTGGCAACGCATGTGATAGAATGTCATGTGTAAACAAAAAAACAAACGCTCACATAATAACACATAACGCGTAACGTAAGTCGTGGCGTAGATGCAGCAATGGCGTAGATGCACTAATGTACCTTTACATACAAATTTATATGTAAAGATACCTCTACTTCCAAAATTAAAACTCTAAATAGCTCTGTTAATAAAAATCGTATAGCTTAAATATTAAACGTTAAAGTTCTATATATAGACCTTTATAATGTATAAAAAGACTAGCATTGCTAGTTCTATAGTTGCAGTTCTATTAATAGGATGAAATCACCTATACAAATATTTGTATAAGGAATACTTTAATGTTAAATTAATTAGGTAAAACGACGCTAGGAGTGCTAGCATTTCTAAGTTAAGTAAAGATCTATATATAGAACCCTAATATAGATTAGCTAAGCAGTACAATTTTTATTAATAGAGCTATTTAGGTTTTTAGTTTCGTAAGTAGAAGTATCTTTACATACACATTTGTATGCAAAGGTACATTAGTGCATCTACACCATTGCTGCATCTACGCCACGACTTACGTTAACGTAAGTCGTGGTCAGACCGGCTACATGGCCAGACCGGCTATTAGTACTGTTACATACAAATTTGTATATAGAGGTACTTATGCTTACGAAAATTAGAACATTAATAGCTCCTTTAATAAAAATGCTAGAGCATATTCCTCTTTTATATAAAAACTTTAAACAGTCCTCTACTATATGTAAAAACGTTAATAGCACTAGCGTCTTTTTATGTAAGTTATTAAAGGTTTTAACTTTTGTCATATAAAAATTTAGTATAGTAAATCTAAAACTATTAATAACTACCTTATAAGGCTAGCTTACATACTAGTGTTTTTAATTATAGTGTATAAGTATATAAATTATCTAAGTTTAAGAGTATTAGGCTCTAGCAAGTCAACTAAAGTAATTATTACAGTTTGAATTATATATCACGTGATGTGAATTCGCTTGTGAATTTACCTGTAAAATTGAAATAGCCGGTCTGGCCATGTAGCCGGTCTGACCACGACTTACGTTATAGGAGTGATAACCTAGAATATATAAAAGGTAAACCTCATGTGATAACTTAGAACACATGTAGAATAATACACTACGAAGAGTAGATCTCTAACTTAGACCTTTAGAAATAAACAAGTATTTTCATTCTATGCTTAAACCCCCCAAAGTACCAACACACCTCTACTAAAAGCAATTAAATAGAGTGAGTTATTCGTAAACTTTTTAAACTCTTTATAATTCTCTACTGCTTTAGAATTATATCATTATGCAGGATTATGGGGTGAGAGCTACTGTTTTTGGCAGGCGTTGGTTGCGGCTTTTCGCACCCTCGAACACTAAGATTTTACTACGTGCCGTGCATGGCGATCAGGCCACTAGATAATTATTGACCGAAAGCACCGTGGGTTGGTTGAGTCCATAACGTCATTTAGGGGTCTACGTAAATGGCAGGCCACTAGGATAAGTATCATTATCACTAACAGTATTATGTTCGGACATGTGCAGTGCCAACGGGAGCTGGCAAGTTTTACGGGTGTTTATCTTGGAGGTGCTAGCTAGGTTGAGCTGCTAGTAATACAACTCTGCGGTACTCGAGATGCTTTGCCCCTTAGTACGGCATAATATAGCTTTAGTCTTAATTTAGTCAAGGATAAAGAAGGTCATGCAGTCGTGCAGGATAGCAAATTATACTTGTGTCGATATATTAGCTTCGTATCCGGTGGATCTACCGCGGCATTCCGTGGCACATAAGGCGGAGCAGTGGCAGTGGAGACGACGTTATTAAGGTACAGTAATCTCGGTCTTATTCGGAACCTGTTAATCCGGACCTTGATTTCATGTGGAGAAGATTCTTGAATCGCTATCATTGTGTATAGGTTATCTTGAATCACCCCTTTAGACGTAATACCGAACGATCCTTAAGGATTCTAGATTAAAAAGAGTAAATTCCCCCCCTAATTAGACGACTTATTTTTAAGCCTCTATATTAAAGACCTTGTAAGAGTCGTTCCGTATTAATCAGAGGTTGCTGTAGGTTATTATTAAACTCTACTGGACCAAACTAGCCACACTACTAAACACGAACTGATCTGCAAGTAGCCACACACTATAATGGGCACTCTATTATAATACGAGCGAGCGACGTCATTTCACAACACAACGGTGACCAAGGTGCTTCTAAGACCGACAGCTTATAAGACCTTAGATGCTCGCAATGCTGGAAACCTTCTTTGTTATCTCCTAGCGCTAATAATCATCTTCATCGTCGTCAATAGCACCCTTAACACCTTAACGTCACTTTAAAAATGAAGTTCTCAGCTCTCGTCGTCTTTCGCCGCTTCTGCCGCGGCAGGCACCATCTAGAGCCGCCAGGTCCGTATTTCCTATTCCCAGACCGTCACACGCTTTTTGTTTACTCTCCCGCCCCCGCCTCCCTAAAATGTCTCTGCGTGACTAGTGATTTCACGCTAACACGGCCCGCGTCCAGAGAGAATCTCTCAGCATTGGCGAGTTCCACGCAGACTGCATCCCACACAGCAGCATGTGTAGCTACGATTTCAGCGTCACCAGCGACCCCGTCCTGCCACCCAGCCACTGCAACGCATTCCTCCAGGGTACTCCAGGCCTGCCCGACGCTGTTGAAGCTTCCTGCCCAGACAACGTCGCCTATACGTGGTCCATCACCAACAAGGACGACGGCGGCCTCGACTTCGCCATCTGGTACGGCTTTAACAGCCGCAGCAACATCACGTACTGCCACTACATACCGGCGGCCGAGCTCATCGTTGAGCAGAACGGCGCTGCGCAGTCGGAGCACTACAAGGGTCCGGCTAGCTTTGAGGCGTCTTTCCTTAACTGTCCAACTGCTTAACCTAAAAAGAACAGTGTTATTTAGCTGGATATGTCAAGGATTGTAAATGTAGTGCTTTCTCTCTGTATTTAGTATTATTTATATGGAGTCCTACCTACTAAAGAAGAATCCCTTCCCTTTCCTCTCTTTCTTTTAGACAACCTGCTCCCTTAAATGACCATCTATCTATTCTTTAGCTAAAACCACTTAGGGAGGGGGGCGAAGGAGGCCAAGCGTCGCACGATGAGCGGAGCAGCTGCGAGAATGTTGGTGATAGGAGGGGGGAGCGACGGTAGAGAGGGACAATTAGAGGAGGGGCCCTGTGGCGGCAGGGACGTCATGTCGTGCACGCGTTGCCCGATTAAAGCGGGCGTTAAACCCGAAGCTCGAACACCACGATCTAGATTATAAAAATTAATAATAGTTTATGTACTTGCTAATATCGCAACTGCCATGTAAATTATCGAAAATACTAGAACTGCCATGTAAATTATTAACTAGCACCCTATATATTATAAATTACTCATCTATTTACACCAAAGAAAGTATTATAATAAAGATAGAACAAAGTTAGATATAATTCTGATTAAAATAAGCTTAGATTGGTATTATAACTTAATGTTCTTTTTGAGGCTTAAGTTTGTTTAAAAGGAAAAAAACTTGTCTATTACTAAAGGTCTAAGTTATGCATTCGTACGAAGGCTCTACTCTTCGTATAAACCTACTAACGTACCATTCTAAACGTGTTCTAATTATCACGTGAGCTTTATCTTCTACACCTGTGTTCTAGGTTATCACGTAGTGTTGTTGTTTCTACACACGTTCTAACTTATTACATAAGTGTTTATTTGTTTGTTTACGTGTGACGTTATTATCACGTGCATTAATTGCTACTATAATTATACTTTATATGTTGAAAACACTCGTCTAAGTCATTTTAGTAAACTATTTATAAAGGGTATTGCTTAATCTATAATACTATAATAGCTTTCTGTTAAAACCATTAAACTACGTAATCGTGGGTGGAAGCGAGTTGCGCGCAGACGAAGTGAGTGCGCGCATCTAGGGCCAAATTTACAGGTATCTTTATATAGTAAATTATATGTAAAAGTCCAAAAGGTGAATAAATTGTAATAATTACTATGTTATTTCTAACATAAAAGTACATATAGATAATAACAAACGTTCTAATAACTTTATTAAAAGAGAAATAATAATACATTAATATACTCTATTACCTATACTAGAATATCTAAAACTTAATAGTTATATAAAAGTGTTAATTAATAAAAAGGTTATAGAATTACTCTCGTTTTAAAACGCGTTTTTGGTGAGGAAAGCAAAATTACTATGTAATTTGCAAACTCTATGTCACTTTACACCTAATTTACTATATAACGATACCTGCAAATTTGGCCCTGGATGCGCGCACTCGCTTCCTCTGCCGCAACACGCTTCCACCTACGATTAATAGTAGAACGCTACTCTTACAATAGTTCTTAAGTTAGTTTATAAACTCTAACACCTAACACTTTCTAATAGGTTTTATTATAGTTATATGATATTTTACTATTTACATTAAGTATACTATGAGACGGCAAGCGGGGCGCGGTTTTCAGCTTTCTTGCTTGTTTAGGTTTAGCGCCGCTAGTTTAGGTTTGGCGTGCTCGGTTTAGGCAAGGCGGCCCGCCGATCTTCAACACGCTGCTTTCCCTCAACCTCAGAAGTATAAGTAGTCGCTGCCCCTCGCTCCTCTATACGCACTCTCCCTCCTTCCTTTCCATCACACACTTTTCAGCTCTGGCCCACACCTTCCACACCTCCGCGGCAGCACCGCCCCCTTCTGCCTGCCAACCTCGCAAAGGTTGCCAAATCTGTCGAATGCTCCGGCTCTAGCCTGCCTCAGACCCCTGTTTCCTGCCACCAATTGGGTTATCTAATACTCTGTGACCATAGTGACCTGTCAACCGTAACACTGGATTATCTAATACTCCGTGACTTCAGTGTCTTGTTAGCTGTAATAACAGCCTTCTTAAATAAGTAACAACAACTTGTAAAGAAATCCTTCAGCTAACCTAATGAGGTGAGTAAATTTTGTTTATTCATACTTAACTATGAACTTAGAAATGATATCTAAAATTACTCAGCTAATGCTTACCCCGCCTAGCCACGCCTACCCATACGGACTTGGTTGCCGAATCTGGCCACACGCTAGAATCGATTACCCGGATTGGAATTTACAAGAGGTAATTACCATTCATCGCGATAGGTTGCAAAATTTCCTCTTTCATAAAGGCGGCTTTACCAGTCAAGCCTCTGCCGAACGGTTTTGGCACATCATGCTCGCCCTTGCGGAAAAACCAACTTCTGCTGAATACACAATACAAGTATTGCGTGAGCAATATCTAGCTTTCCCAGAAGCCACAACCTACGGACAAAGGGAAGCCACGCTGACTGGTGACGCGGCACAAAGCATACTCGACACTTTACATGGCGTGGACTCCAGTGATGTTCGATTTCCTATCGGAGGGGAAAAACCAGCTAACTTGATCGACATCGGTTGTGCTGAAGGGCAGAAGACGAGCGCGTTGGCTGAAGCGTGGGGATTACCACATCAACACGCTATTGGCCTTGACATCGTCCCGGCCAACTCGCTGCCCACCAATATTGACTTCGAGATAATGTTGCCCGATACCTTACCAGAACGCATCTTGTATAACTCTCAAGATCTGGCTATCGTTTCCATGGTCTTTCATCATTCGACTAACCCACGCGCATTGTTACAGAGCATTCACTCCGCGTTGAGACCGGGTGGTTACCTGATAATTCGTGAACATAACGCGAATGCTACGCCGCACATGGCAAGTTTCCTAGACACGGTCCATATATTTTACGACGCCGTTTTCGCAGGAAAAACCTGCATGCCGAACGCGCAAACTTACAAAAGCTTCGAAGAGTGGCAGGATATCTTTCAAAGCCAAGGATTCGAGCACATTAAGAGTGACTATACGCCATTCTCGGCGAACCCTCGCGCTGGAGTACAGGCAAACGCAAACACTGGCGAGAATTTTACTTGCGTCTTGCGGAAAAATAAGCCTTAAACGTCTTCATATTAGGGTGTTTCTTATTAATATTTCAATGGTACTAATGGCTCAAAACGAAATATGACATCTAGCTGGCTTTTTAAGACTAGCGGTCCTCCTGCGTTAAAGCATTTTTCTGTTCGTAACTATCTAGATACAATATATTGTAGAGCTAGCACACCTACTTACATGAATCTCTACTTTGTTCCCCTCTACTCCCTGCCTCTACAGGTCTGTAGGTTCGAGTTGAAGGGTTTAGGCGAACTCCTCTCCTATAAGTCAATACTAGTTTGCACTTCGAGCCTCATCTAAGACTGGTATTTCGGCCTTAGACATGAATGTTCTTATGCTACTAGCATATTAATAAATGCTTAATAAATCATGCGTTTCGACTTTATTAAAGGCGTGGCTGTAGAGCAGATTTTCATGAAGCGGAAAGTTGTGGAGCTCTCACTCTGGGCCTGGTGTGACGGCACGTGAGCGGCCATGCCGCTTAACCTCCGGAACCACCATGCGAAGGATCAAAATTTCCGAATTAGGAAGTAGATAGCTGTAGCTACCCTCTGAGACTAGCTTAGGGGTATTATTATACCTGTATATAGTAGTTATAGTAGCTAGACTAATTATACATGCAATTACGGATTACTGTTTTGAGGCCTACGTGATACAGTCGGAATTATCACATTGTATTCTACATAAAGACCGCTACCCTATGCACCATTCCTACATTTGCTAATCTTAAAATTGTCTCGTTCGTCCGTGGGTCGGGTTGAGTATCTCTCACCCAGTAATTATATTAGATTGAACGCGACGGAAGTCTTGAGGTGGAAAAGCTCACATCCTGCCCTTGTCGTATGATCATGTCATCAATCTTCTCGCCAACCTCAAGCTTGTACACAAGGCTGTACCACTTCCAGAACGTCTCTAACGACGTCGTATGTTTGATGTATGTTTGATGCCTAGCCGTCTTCTCCCACCTTTCCCTTGTCGTTGGTCGTAAACCTAGCTTAAGAAGCCCTTGAGGAAGTTTGTTGTGACATTGCGAAAGCATTAGACTGGGTCCTTCTTAATGTAGAAGCAATACCTTAGAAACGGTGGAAAGTCGACGTAAGCCATAATAGACATTTTAATGGTTCCTACTACAACTTCACCCAGTCGAGCTGAGCTTGGGTCTTAGGGCTGTAGCGTCGTTACTGAAGCCGCTACACATCGAGTTCTTCCGCTTTAGCGAGATAGTGTTCTGGAGGGTGTTGTACTTCGTCGTTAAAGAGCCACGACTTGTCATCAGTGTCATCGTCAATACCGTCTAAAAGGGAATCGAGGTCGAAAACGCTTGAGCTGTCGGATTCATCGTTAGAGTAGGAAGTCAATGGCATGTCGAGACTAGAGACTTGTAGAGGGTTGGATAGAGAGAACAGTTAAGGGCGGTTTACAGTGACTAAAAAGAAATACAGACAAAGAGTATAGAAGACTGAAAAGAGCGACTACAAGCGAAAGCTTAAAGGTGGGTGAAGAACATGAAGAACCGAGAGAAGACGTCGACCTAAAAGATATAAGATGGCAATAAACAGACGAAAGAGCGAACGAGGCACATGTTGGCCTTTAAATACGTTTGGGTTGACGGTTCACCAAGGGTATAGCTACTTCTTACTTTCATGGCCCCCTTAATACTAAGGGCACGAGGTTAGGCGGGTTGGCTAGAGGTGGATTAGGGGGTGAGCGTTTTCGGTTTGTCGTGTTAGACCTGAGGTCAACTAGGTGTGCGGCGACTAAGTTAGGGTGCGGGGGGAATTAAAAAGTAGGCAAGCGAGCTGCGTAAAACAGCGACAAAAGCTGCTCTTTTCAGCACCCTCCCAGCCGTCACATCGTTAAATGGATAAAAATATCTTACTACAAGTCCCCTGTAATTATAATAAAATAATAATAGCCTATAGTAGCTAAATAACATTCATTAAAAAGTATTCGTATAAACAAACACCTATCATAAACCTTTAGAAATAACCAAAATTATTCCCTCTTTGTGTAAGCCCCTAAAATTATAATATTAGCTTGTATGACTTGAAAGTTAAGTAGCTAAATATGTCAAAACAATACAAAAGTTGAACGCCTACTCCTGCAATAGTTCCTAGGTTTGTTTATAAACTCTAACAAAATACTTGTTCTAACTATATTAAATCGCTCGCTCATGGGACTGTCATCGTTTATTAAAACTGTTCGACAGTTCTACAACACTCCATCTGCCGCGTTACATTATTGGCATATGCTAGGGCCAAGGTCAGAAATATGAATTGTAATTAGCTAATGGACTGATGTTGCAGAAGTACAGTAGCCAACTTTCTCGGTTCGGGCCGAAGCTCAGAAGCCAATATTGCTGTGATCCAAATCAACTGTCAAATATAAGTCGTAACTCCGGTCTTTTTCTTCTTTAGCTAATTTGAAATTTATCCCAGTGTTACTTTCATATCGACTGGCGACTTATGGCCGGCAGGATGGATCAAAGTGGACTGGATCTCAGGTTTACTTCGTCAATCGACTGGTCTATGACTGACTGCCAGCTAAAAATACCTCAGTGGAGATAAAACAGCGGGGCATCCACCCGCATCCACCCCAAAAAATTGAATTTTCAAAAACATATTTAAATGGCAAAATAAAGGGCCTAATCCGGGATTGAACCGGAGACCTCTTACAATTTGAATGCTGATGAGCTCCCAAAGCAAGAATTCTACCACTGAACTATCAGGCCTTTGATATGTTTGAGCTGGGTTAGTTCAATTCAAATGTGGTGAAGAAGCCTTGGATGAGGGTAATCGGCTAGAAGAGTCGCCACAAAAGTTAGGGACAAAACAATTGTTATGAAGAACGCAAGCCGAGCACAAAGAGATCATGGTAGTACTGTTGGCACACAAATATATTATGTGGTAATATTAACAGACGCTGCAAACCTAGACCGATGACTGTTTCATCATCCACGAAACGAGGTCTACCTTGGTCACAACAGCGACTGGCTTTGGCAGACCTGCGGTCTCAGCGCCCCCCTTCTCTGTAACGATTGCTGCACTGTTCCACTCGAAAAATTTGCTCAAAGAGGCTAATGGAGTATCCATCGTAATCTGGACAAACTTCCTCTTTGGCAGGCTTTGCGGCTTAGTGTCCTCCTGAGCAGCGGCACCGTCTACCTTGGGTAGGTCTTTCAGGTTGCTGCTGTAGTCTTTAGGGTCTGTGACAACCTCTGGGATCTTTGAGAAGTCGAACATGACCTCGGAGACAAGAGTCTTGCCAGTGGCACGGCCACGGCTGATATAGCTCAGAATATTACCCAGTGTCACCAGACCGACCAACTTTCCTCCCGAAGACGCCAAAACTGGAAGCTGGTCAAAGCCCTTATCTCTCATCGTCTCAACTGCGTCTGCGCAGAAAGAACTTGCAGAAATTGTGGTAACGGGCTTGAGCCTCAAAGCCCTCAGCGTAGCACCGTTATACGGGTCGTGCTTGGATTTAGGGGCTGACGGCGAGGGAGTTGTAGGTGGGCTCGGTGGGAGGAGGTCGTTCGCAGCAAGCCAGTCATCGTCCGCAAACTTACTTAAGTAGCTTCGGATGCTGTCAGGCAGGACAACGACGATGACGTCTCCCTTTCCAAGCCCGAGCTCTTTGACTCCCTTCACCATTGCTGCCATTGCGCTTCCACTGCTTCCTCCAACGAGAATACCCTCCTCGGCAATTAACCGACGAGCAAAGGAAAACGACTCTATATCATCTGTTTTATACCAGACATCGACAGACTGGCGGTCTAGGACGCCGGGGATGAAATCATAACCAATTCCTTCTACCTTGTACCCCTCGTTGGCATGTTCTTCGTTCAGCTGCTCTGGGAGCGCCAAAATAGACCCTTGTGGGTCGGCCGCAATAACCTTTATATCTTTGTTGTGCTTCTTCAGTCCTCTTGAGAGACCAGTAATTGTACCGCCAGTTCCAGCTCCGGCCACAATAGCGGTGATCTTGCCATTTGTCTGCTCCCAAATTTCTTGGGCGGTTCCGTACTCGTGGGCCAATGGGTTATCCACGTTCTCATATTGGTCGAGAATATGCGAGTTTGGAATCTCCTTCAGCAGTCGTCTCGCAACACCGATATGCGATTCTGGTGCGTCCCAGGCAGCTTCGGTTGGGGTTCGAATGATGGTGGCGCCCAGGGCGCGAAGAACCGTAACCTTCTCGGCCGACATCTTCTCCGGTAAAGTGATAATTGTCTTGTAGCCCTTGATTGCGCCGACAAGTGCAAGTCCAATACCACTATGCACCAGGTCAGTTGGAACGTTCAATTCGCCAGTGACGAGGACTTACGTGTTTCCGCTGGTGGGTTCGATAAGGGTATCTCCAGGCTTGATGCGGCCAGATTTCTCAGCTTCCTCCACCATGCGCAGGGCAATGCGATCCTTCACACTGCCGCCTGCATTGAAGAGTTCGACCTTGGCGTAAACCTCGGCCTCGATGCCCAAGCTTTGTGGGATTTTGTTCAACCTCACCAAGGGCGTGTTGCCAATCAGTTCCGACACCGACTGAGCGGCAGCGGGGTAGATGGCGGGCTTGCTTGACGACGCCATTTTGGGCAAGGAATATAGTTTCTAAATGTGTCAGATTTCCAGCTATAGAGGGTAATGAGGATTATATTTGGCGTACCTTTTTTTCGATTTTCTACTGTTTGTATGTAGTTCAGTAAAAATTGGCGGTCAGATAGTGGCGATAAAAGTATTCCGTCGCTACCCGCCGTTTATGGTTTGCTCGCTTTGGCTCGCTTTGGGCTTTTATATATGGCAGGGAAAGTTTTTGGAGGGGCACGGGGGGGTGTGACGGGGGGAACGGAAGAGGGGCATTTAAATTCCCCGATTAGAGAAAAAGTACTTGTACCTTTATATATGGCACCACCTTCCTTGCAGAGAAGTGCATCGGCCTAGATTGTACTAATATTACTAAGATAGTGCGCTTACTTAGCCTTCGCTTGGCAAAACTGCTTGTATCGGTACATCTTACCCACATCTTGCCCACCTCTTACCCTCCTTCTGCAACCGTACGCCTTTGCTACCCTCTACACCCACCCTCTACACCCACTACCCTCTACTACACCAGTATACCCCGCTCCTAGTGCTACCTATCCCACCACTATCTCACTACCATCACTACACTAACTTACCACTACTTACCTAAACGAGGCTCATCGTTGGTTATATAAAAACCCCGTCCGCGGCACCCCACTGCACACTGAGATGGTTAATTGCTTTTTCGTGACCAGCACATTCATATTGCGAGCTCAATACAGACAACTCACCCGTCTCAGCCACCGCAAACCCCGCCTCCAAGCTCGTCATATCTGCTACGGAAGTCTCTGGACTGCCACCACTACTACCACTGTATCATATCGAAGTCAGAGTAGCTTCTCCACAATGGCGTCCAGCGTTGATGCCATCCTGGCCGGGAAATACCCCGCCAAAGCCCATGCTCGCCGTGTAGTCGAATATATCAAGAAGACCAAGCCAGAGGCTGCTGGTGTTTTGTACCTGGAGGGCCAGAAGACGCGCCTGATAGAGGATAACGATGAGCCCGTCCATTTCCGGTAACATCTCTTGTGCTGCACTTTTTACAAGATACAAGACAATACTAACTTTCAGCTTGCAGCCAGCGACGATACTTCTACTATCTCAGTGGGTGTGACGTTCCCGATTGCCAACTGACATATGATATCGCCTCTGAGAAATTAACTCTCTACATCCCAGCCATCGATCCGGACTCTGTCATCTGGTCCGGACTTCCGTTATCTGAGAAAGAAGCTTTGGAGCTCTATGATGTCGACCAGGTCAGGACCACCCCACAAGTGAACCAGGTTCTCGGAACTTCGCAGTCCAAGAAGACCGTGTTTGCCATTGCTGGGCAAGTCCCCGATGATGTCACCTTCTTGAACTTCGAAAACACAGATTTTGATCTCCTGAAACCTGCCATTGAAGAATGCCGTGTTGTCAAAGACGAATACGAGGTTGCGCTAACTCGCAGGGCAAACGAAGTTTCTACGATTGCCCACACAGCTGTGCTGAAGGCTGTCAAGAGCGCAAAGAACGAGCGTGAGCTACAGGCACTCTTCTTGCAGCGCTCCATTGCAAATGGGTCCCCAAACCAGGCATACAGCCCCATTTTTGCCGCTGGAACAAGCGCGGCTACTCTGCATTATCTCAAGAACGATCAACCCCTTGACGGCAAGCTTAATCTCCTTGTTGATGGTGGTGCAGATTACTCCTGCTATGCCTCAGATATCGTGAGTTTCCCCGAAGGTTTGTTTGGTCAGGACTGACTGTTATAAAAGACCAGAACGTTTCCTATCAATGGCAAGTTCAGCAAAGAGAGTAGGGAGATTTACGACATCGTTCTGCGCATGCAAGAAGTTTGTATAAATATGCTCAAGGAGGGTGTTGCTTGGGACGATGTTCATCTGGAGGCACACAAGGTTGCCATTGAAGGGCTGATGAAAATCGGGATTCTTCAGGGAGACAAGGAAGATATCCTTAAGTCCAGAACCAGTGTTGCATTCTACCCCCATGGAGTTGGCCACTATCTTGGCATGGATACACACGACACTGGCGGCAATCCTAACCCCAGCGATAAGGACACTATGTTCAGATACCTACGTCTCAGAGGGAACCTGCCAGCAGGTTCCATCGTCACGGTCGAACCAGGAGTAAGTCTACTTCCCATATAGTGGCGTAGAAGCTAACGAACCATAGATTTACTTCTGCAACTTCATCATCGAGCCGTATCTGCAAGACCCAGTTCACTCTGCTTACATCAACTTTGAAGTGTTGCAGAAGTACTGGGAAGTTGGCGGTGTACGCATCGAGGATAACATTCTGATCACCAAGGATGGTTATGAGAACCTGACGACTGCTGTGAAGGACGTCGATGAGATGGAGAAGCTCATCAACGGAGCATAATCTTACAGTAATATCATACCCCACCACAGATAGCTGATGGTACTAGGAGGCGTTTGCTTTACCACCACAGATATCCGATATCTGATGGTACTGGGAGATATTTTGCTTTACCACCACAGACTGCTGATGGTCTGTGAGATATTTTTTTCTTTGTCAACTATATGCGGAATTTACACCGTTTAGTTCAAAATCCAATTGAAACCCGTTCACACATATAAATTGTCTTGTATATTGCCCTTATTGTTACATACATAAGTGGCTGCTTCAGCCGCACTTTCCCATCGCGCCATCGAAATCTACAAACGTTAAAACCAACCACAGTCCTCCAAAATATCTCAGGCCTTCCTCATTGACTATCCAACAGTCTCACATTGCGCCATAATATATAGTAGCAGAATACCCCCAGTCTAAGTAGCGCCAGTAAATTCCAATCATCGCACACCTGTGCCATCCATGAGACAGAACCTCATCTATAACACTAGTCCTTCCACCTCTTAAGATACTTCTGCATGTCATTGTCAGGTTGCGATTGGGCAGCGGCCTGAATAGTCTATTAGCTTATGACAACAAATCAAGGTACATGAGTGATAATTACCGTATTAGCATGCATCACAGCCGTGCCAGTTGGCGATTGCGTTATGGTGGTCACTATGGTAGCTGGCGGCAAGAACGTCGTGGCTACCTTCACCGCTGATGTCGGCCACAGAGGCTTTGTATTCGTGGCAGTGATCGCATTTGCTGGCTTAGGTTGCATCGGCGCATACCTGGTGTCGCCCTTTTGCTGATCGTATGGAATGGACCATGAGCCACCGGCTGGAGCAGCTGGGGCTGGGACTCCGGGAGCTGGGACTCCGGGAGCTGGAACTGCTGGCGCTGGAACTGCTGGGACTGGAGCGGCTGGGGCTGCCGGGACTGCGGGTGCTGCTGGGACCGCTGGTGCTGCTGGGACCGCTGGGGCTGCTTGGGCTACTCTGGGTCGCAAGTTTGATTTTTCTGTCTGTGGCCCTGTTGTGCCTGAAACTGTGGACAAGGCGGCTTTGATAGCATCGGGGAATTCACCAGTCATGGAATTGACAGTGAATCTACTCGAGTAGTTTGTGATGAATTCTCCCGATTTTGTCGTCGATTGGATTCCCAAGAAGCTGTTCGCTCGAGTTAGCCATTGTCCAATCATTTTGACTCGGTCCTTTGGGGGTTCTTACTATGCATTGGTAATAGCCTCGCCAGCTGTAACTGGGATATTTATAGATGCTGACTTGGGGGATTCGGCGAAGGTCCCCGATGGGACGAGGGTCAAAAGCTGTGTCTGCGCGGTGTTAACAATTGCTGAGAAGACATTTCGAACCAGATTATACTAACGGGTGCTTCATTCGAGCCCGAATAGAGCGCTATCGAATACTCCACCAAATCATCTATCGAAGGCGCTGTATCCGATTCCGACCAAGACACCTTGAATTCTGCTCCCCCTGGCACCACCCCTCCAGGGCCTGGAACGTCGAACCTGACATCGGCGTATGCGATTGGCACCAGGGCGAAAACCAGGAAGAGAATGTCGCTCAAAGGCATGATCAGTACAACACCCCAACAAATATCTGGCTGTAATCGGCGCTGTGGTGTATATATCGATGGTATGAGTAGAGAGTCAAACTTTGCTAATTACATACATGCTTAAGCCCACAGAATTGTCGGGAGAGCCGTATCGCCATCCAACCATATGTTACTTGCGCCTGAGGCAATACTGGAACGCTACGTCATGTCGGTTTGGGACCTTTCTTAGTGGGGTAGGAATCTACAGGGCCCCAATAAATGCGGCTGGTTACCGAGCCAAATCTTTAAATAGAAAATAAGTAACTGATTATTAACTTCGTAAATGCTTGTATTCTGTTCGTTGCATGTATTCTACAGTAATTCCATAGTGTGTGTGAAAGTAGTCCACTCAGTTCCCGCTTTCCAAATTCCCCATTGGTGACCCAAACTACCCCGCTAACGCCCAGAAATCTCCGAAGGGACGCCGTGAAACTCATGCCTCTATCCCGCAGCCATGAGTATTACAAACATCAGTGAAGTAAATCCCCATAGGTAACGTATATCTACCGCAGATATCAAATGCAGGTACATCGCGCCAGGCACCTAGCATGACAACGTTACATCGTAAAAGACGTTCCAATCCCCCAAAACATATCCATAATAATGAGCTCAGGCGTCCGCAGTAACCTCCTGCACACCTTCTTTGGCAAGTACAACCCTCTTTCCCAGTGGCAGCCGTAAATCAAACCCATGCCCGCCATTAAAGGCACCCTGGCTAGAACTGATCTGCTTCAGCGTCAGAGCATGGTCCAACAACATCTCTTTCGTCGTTCGCAACTCAAAATTGGTGAGAAAGCAAAAGCTGATCTCTAGTCGAGCGAGCTCATTTTCGCTGACTCCCCCAACCTTGGAAAATCTTCGATGAGGGTAAGACAGGTCCTCCAAAGCCTTCATGGCAACCCGCAGCCCAGCGAGGAGCAGGCGATGGCAATTCCGCCTCGTAACTGGTATAGCACGCTCTTCCACGGCTAAACGATGAATATATACGCTCGTTGCCAAATATACGCCAGTAGACATGGGACAAAACTTGTGTATCCGCATGAGATAGTCCTCAATCGAGATCGGGGGAGGCTTTTTCGAGTAAAATTTGCGCGTTATGGCGCTATGTTGAAGATTGAGAGGCTCCGCGTTAGCCCCGATGATAATGTACGGCTCTTTTTGCTCATTCTCCATTTGCTCATTCTCCAGGCTCGCAATCGGCCTCTTCCTGAGATTTATCCCATCGTACTCGTCATTTGCCGCGGTAAATGCGAAAGGTACAGATGGGCGCCGGTGCTTGCTCAGATCGGTCAAAGAGTGGCTGCGTACGATATTCTCTTTTTCCTCCTGCATACCGCGCATATTGGGGGTCTGGCGCCCACTCGTGGGCGGAGTTGGTGGTATGTCGCCTGTGACGCGGACGAGCGCCTCAATTCCAGCACAGACGAGTTTCAGCGCGGAAATTGGAGGTAGTTTAAAGACGTCGAGGCTTGAGACAGATGGAGTTGCCAATTCGGGATCCGGGGTGGTCGACTGAACGCTGAGACCAACGTCTGCTGCTGGATTTGGTGGCGGTGGTAGGCAGTATTCAGGCGATGAGCCATCGGCCGAGGTCTGGTTGGGAGAAGCCATAGTTGTACAACAGGATGTTTCCCTGCGGTGGTATGTGAAACTTGTCGCGCTGTGATTCCCAGAGAAGCCCTTTAGACAATCTCCGATGTCTCTGGCTGTTTGTAATCGCTATATCATTGCCTAAGATATGCGTTTGTTTGTTCGTGAGAGTTGCGGCCAGGGGGGCTCTATCGATGGGTCCCCTTGTAGCCACTGGCACATTTTCGAAGATACAAAAGCTAATCGAGGTTGATGACTGTTGAAGAGATGGCGCCGAGGTGGGAGATGGGGGAGATGGGAGAGCGTATTGATTTATACTATGGTAAGTGGTTGGTGTTAGTACAGGACTCTAGACTGTCTGGTGGACCCCTCAGGATATGGGAGGATAACGACTTGTGGTGGCAGGGATTAACAGCCCATGCAAAGGCGGTGTGATTGGTTCCTTCCAATCTTTGCAGGAGACCCGTCCGGCCCAAGGCAAGATCCAGGAGCACGTGTCATGCAGAAAATCAACCACGTCCCCCTGACAGATTAATATCAGAGGCAAACTAACGAAACGTCCTGTGTTATTTGCCACGCCTTCGTGGAGTACCCTGTATTTTATTGGCGTTATCGATAGCATAAGCCGACTACCGCACGAATTATTTACTAATTTATTCATAAATATTTCAATTTGGATCTGAGCCAGAAGCCTTCCTGTGACTTATATGCTACATGTGAATGGAGGTGACATTCATTGGACGAGAAGTTCTATCACGCCTCGATCCTCTGGCATGTTGGGAGCTGTGCGAGACATAATAATATATCTAACAACCCGGAGCCACAACGGCGTCAATAACGGCAGTTGTACCACCCTTAACTGCGTCGACGGCCCTTTGGAGAACCCCCTCGAGATCAGAAGCCTTAGCCACCTTCTCAGCAAATAGCTTGCCCCCGGCTGCTGCTTTGGCGATTCCTGCATAGTCGGGCGTAGGGGCGAATGAGATGTTCAGCTCCTCATTCGTAGCCTTCGAGCCAAGCCCATCGGGATGAACCAACAGGAGAGACCTCTTGGGAGCATGCCATCCTATATATCGTTAGTTAGGTCGCACTCCGCATCGGAGAGAGAGACGTACCATCGTTGTTCAGAACAATTGTAAGGATGGGGATTTTGTATCTTTGACAGATCCAGTATACACTTCCGGGAACACTGAACAGGAATGTACCATCCCCAACGATCTGGACTACGAATTTCCCTTTTCCTGCGCCATTCTCATATTCCGAGGCCAGTTTGATACCCAGTGCACCGCCTCCAGACCAACCAAGTCCACCACCCCCACAGTTGATCCAAGAGCCAGGAAGAGTTGCTTGGATATTGTCAGCTACGAAGCCGGTGTTCGTCACTGCTTCGATTGCGAAAATTGTATCCTCGGGAACGAGCTTTCGGAGGGTACGGCATAGATAACCAGTGCCAAACGAGCCGTCATCTTTTGGCAATGCAAGTTGAGCAAAGTTTGCTAGGCGCGCTTGGTGAGATAGAGCCAGGGCCTCCCATTTTCTGTTATACGTATCCTCGGCAAATTTAGCAGCATAATTCGAAGATAAATACTTCGTAAGTTGGCTGATCGATGTGTAGCTATCCGCCCTATATCTGGATGTGGCAGCCAGGTAAAAGACGGGGATCTGCTGCTTAAGTGGATCCACATCAATGTGATATATCCTGGCCGTCTTCGATGGCTTGCACAGGGTGTTTACCCATGGGACATCGCAATCGATGACAACGATGACATCTGCTGTTGTTATGTTCTCCTCACTTCCGTATCTCAGTCCCAGTGATGCACGATGATCAAAGGGGAAACACATATCGCTGCCGCCCGTGTCAAGGACTCTCAGTCCTTTGACTGTATCAGCTAACTTAACCAACTCTGGGACGGACTTATGGTTCCTGCCACTGTAGCCGGTGATGAGCAGGGGGTTCTTCGCTTCGGCAAGAGCGTCGGAGATGGTCTTGACGGCGTTTTCTGATAGAGCTGCAGGCTCAACTGGATTCCAGTGTGCTTGTTCCAGGGAGTACGGGGTGAGGTCTTCTTCCATGACTTCTCTTGCACCACAGAGGTACACTGGCCCTGCAGGGTCACTGCATGCAAACTGCAAGGCTCTGTTGACCATCTGCTTGATGTTCTTTCCTGTCTTGATTTCGGCGGAGTAACGGCAGTATTGGGAGACGATTTGTTTTTGATCGGGCACGTCTTGGATCCAGTGGATGTATTCGGTTCGGGACCCGCGCATCTCGCCTTCGATGGTAAATGGTGAAAGGCCGGCAAATATGAGAACAGGTGCCCGCCCGCAGCTGGCGTTGTGAACCGCAGCACCGAGGCCTTGTGTTCCCACATCGACGTGTACAATGACACATTGTGGCTTCCCGGTTAGTCGGGCAAATCCATCTGCCATCGACAGCGCTACCATCTGTGCGTGTTAGAAAGAGTGTTGGGTTAAGGGCAGCTTCTGCGGTGGCCTCTCTCATACCTCGTTGGGACAAGTTATAATTCTTGGGAACTCGCCCTTTTTCTCATTCTGACCCTTGACCATGGCCTCGATGATACTAGGGTGGTCGGAGCCTAAGTTGACGAAGCAATGGGTGACGCCGGCCTCCCATAGCGCCTCGAAGAAGGCGAATGACGCGGTATACATGATTATCTGTGGTTATTATAGCAAAGGCTTGAGGTATCCCGTATGTTGAAGGGCCCACGGAGCTCGAGTGAGACAGTGACGATCCAATGGGGGAATGGGGGAAGAATTATTCTAAATCGTGGGGAGGATTTAATTTCTCGAAAGGGTTTGGGGTGGTTTTGGAGGTAGGAAGGTGAGTATTGAGTATGAAGGAGGAAAGAAAAGAAGGAAGAGAAGGGACGCGATAGAAAAGAAAGAAGTAGAGGGTCTTTAAGCGGGAGCAGGTGATTAAATGGGACTAAGTTTGCTCGGTATGGCAATGGGGGAGGCCAATGAGAGAGTCAATTGGGGATTGGGAGTCGAGGACAGGTGGGGATGGGCTGCGGGGGAGGTCAAGTGGTGTCAAGGTGATGTAGTTAGTGCGCGGGTGCTTTGTAGTAGAGGTGCTGTGAAGTGCGGGGGAAGTACAAAGGGGAAACATGAATGAGACATGGAGTGGGATGAGGGAGGCCATGGGAAACCGCGGATGAGTTCCGATGCCAGCCAGTGAGACAAGTACCCAGAGCGGATGAATGCCGAGGTGTATCTTTATCTAAAGGTAGGGTAGGGTTGATAGATGATAGAGTGATACAGAATGCTTCAGTCGGCGGGATATGGGAGTCAGAAGACGGAAGGTGGAGTGGTAGTGGATGGACAGTGGACTGACGAATGCGGGGTTGGAGATGTTGAAGGAAAGGGTGGGGTAGGAGCGATTGAACTGAGACGTTGTGGTGCGGGGTACTTGTGACGGCGGTTATAGGCGGCATATATTTTGTCCTATTTGTCCTATGTGAGCAGGTGCACGCGAACTTTACGTACTCGTAGTTGCTGTACTGGTATTGGGTTATATTTTGCTGACTGTACGATGTATGATGGTTGTACCTGGATGCCAGGAACGGTTGTGAGGTCCTGTTGTTACATGGAGTTCTTGTGATAAACTAGGAGTAAAGTTCACCCTCTTGGTTGATTTTCGGCTTCATTATTATATCATATCATTACCGCCATTTTTTAAACCAAACACCGCTTTAATTCAAACCAAGCCCCAAAACATGCCATATCCAGCCTCGATTAAATATACCAAACCACCACCATATACTACCCCTCCTCGAACATTAAAACGGCAAGATTACTGTTCTAACTGCACATATAAATGGTATGGTACCTTGAGGGATGACAATCGAGATAAGCCACCACGTGACAGACCCAACCACGTGACCCCACGATGGAGATTGAAATAGTCGACGAGACAAAAACAAACAAAGTCGCACCTGGGATTCGGTGGGATTCGGTGAGCTTAAATGGGCCAGTCGCCACCTGCCTAAATATACGTAAAATCGGCATGACACACTTGACGGGAAGGCATGGTTGCCTTACCGCCTAACAAGACGCCTTGTATGGACGTCTCACCTCTAGCCGTATCGCAAGCCGTATCGCAAGCCGCATTCACCACAAATCGCGCTTCCAGACCGACACCAGCCACCACCTGAGTGGCTGAGCACCCGCCATTCTGGAGAGAGTCTGAATCATCCCTGAGGGTCTTCCCCATGTCCCCCATATCTGATGGGCTTTTGACGCGCGTTGTGGGATTCCCAGCGAGGCTTGTTGGCTTGGCAAAAGTCTTGCAGGATGCCTGGCCGTGCTAGTGGTGCCTATCCCTGTCCCCCACCCCCGTTCTTTCGCTGCCCTCCCGTCAAGACGACCCTTTTTGCTCCCCACCACTCCCGCTGCTCCCACTACTGCCACCACTGCTCCCACCACTCCCTGGTCCTCGATGCTCACCCGCCACTAGATTACTATCTCCAGTCGGTCTCGGTCATCGATCATGCCCGCATGGGCACCCGTCGACCCGTACCGCATCGCATCGCGTGAGCCATGGGCCAACAGAAAACCTCCCTTTGGTGTCGCTGTCGCTGTCATTATCCCATAGAAGTCATCCGTAGCCACTCGTTAGCTGTGTAGTCGGAGAGAATCCTACATCTTGATGCCTTGCAATAGCTTAATTATTCTTCATGCCTCGATGGTTCGCACGGTGCTGCCTTGATAGTTTGACATAATGAGCACCCACCGTGTGGATTCTGCTTCTTCTTCCCGTAGTATCTAGCCTGGTGCCTCATACTCCATCCCGTTCCATTCTGTTCCCTTCTCGGTATCGTCGTCGCAAAGTACGTACAATTCACCTCCTCTTCACTTCACCCTTCTCCTGTGGCTGGAGCCGTGCAGCAGTCATGCAGTAGTCCCGGCAGTGGCCTAAAATCCTACGCTTCATCTTCAGCTGTACAAGGGCACGATCTTTCAATTTTCCCCTGTCCACAATGTGGTGAGCATGAGGAAGGATCACAAGTTTACCAGCCACCAGCCACACCTCTCCACTGTGGCCTCCACTTGCCCTCTCCCGTTGCGCTTATTGACAAGGGCTAGAAGTGGCTTGACCCCAACAAGTGGCACAGCAGACCCCCAACCGCCATAGACGCCAGCCCTTTGTCCTGGTTCTTGCCCGTTATCACACTCACACCCCGTCCTTCAAAGGCACCAGCCACACCTCCTACGACTCTCCACACTTCCTACACTTCCTACAGCCCTCCAGTATATATATATTCAACCCGGCCACTCATGTCCATACATTTACTCTCACCGCATATCACGGACCATTACACATACAGATTGTTCACATTATCACCTCTCACCCGGCCACAGACCTACCCAGAACCCACTACAAATTCAGAAACTTGCCATCTTTTCTCCACCTATGTCGTCTATATGTTTCTCAAAGCAAGCTTAAGGACAGGAGCTCGATCACTGGGATTTGGTGACTGAGACACGATATCACATCTCACAAAAAGACAGCAAAAGTCAGCAACACACTTCACCAGCAACACACAAACCCACGCGCATTTCACAGTTCCAGGATGTGCGTCACAGAGATCTTTGTTGATTCCTATCCTGACGGCGCAGAAGTGGAGTTTCACCGGGTGAAGCTCTGCCAGCATGGGTATCCAGAAGATCCATGTGACCTGCACGTCGTGAAGGAGCAACCCATCCGATTCATACAGTACGGCGAGCCGACCTCCGAGTTTATCATATCCCAGATCAGGAGCCCACCGCGCTCGTCTGCGCCCCCGAACATGGTCGAAGTCATCGAGGAGGTAACAACGCCCAGAGCCAAACAGAAGAGGAGGCCCCTGTCCAACCTGGTCATGGGAGCCTTGTTTCCCAGCACGACGAGGAGAAGGAGAAGGAGCTCCAGATCCAAGTCAAGGGAGCGGGTGGTCATCATTAACGCACCGCCTTCGCCGACCCGACCTCGCACACCTCCACCAACCGCATCGCCCATATACTACGACCCGAGAGTCTTCATGCCACCCATGTCGCCACGGTATGAGAGCAACGAAGAGGCTTATATCGTTGAAGTATCACCATCCCGGGGCCGCCAGAGGCCAATCATCCACGAAACATCACGTCGTCCACGTTCGGCATCGATAGAATTCCGATACACCTCCCCCAGTCGACAACGTTCTCCCTCCCAGCGCCGAAAAGACGAACGGCGACGCCGGCAGCGCCAGGAAGAGCGTGAGCGCCAAGAGCTGCGGGAGTTGCGGGACCGACGGGAGGCAAGGCTGGTGGCGGAAATTAAGGAAGAACGTGAACGCCGGCTCCGCGAGGAGTTCTTGATGCTCCAAGACGCCGAGATCAATGCCCGCCCAGTCCGCCTCCCAAGTCCAGCACCCAGACTACGGTCGATCCTGAGGCCTGTCGTTGATCAAAGTCGGAGGTGGACAAATGTCATCGATGACTTGGGCTTAAGCATTCGAGGCGAACGGGTGATTGCCGAGGCGATAGCCGATCGAGAAAGAGCTGAATCGCGTGAGAGGCTGCTCAGGGAAAGGCTTGAGGCGGAAGAGGCAGAGGAGGCGCAGAAAGAGAGGTTGAAGAGGCGGTTCACAGTGAGCGAGGGCTCTGGGCCAAGAGGCAGAAGGCATCGTGTTGTATATGATGATGGAACCTATAGATGGGCGGACTGAAGGGATTTGGGCCAAGAGGCAGAAGGGATCGTGTTGTATATGACGGTGGAACCTATAGATGGGGCGGATTGACTGTATTATTAGAACTGGGAAAATCATATAGACTTCAGAATTGGAAATACTCACCACTCGAGGGTGCCACTGGTACGAGACAAGGTGATTCATAGACTAATGGGCCCATCTTTCAATAAACGCCTCCTTGTGAGAATTACGCTCCTTTAGTCTCTCAAAATCGAGACTCTGCAGGTGACTCGACAGGTCAGCCAATTCCTGGTCCAGTCCTGAAATGGCTTCCTGGACTTCTTCATCGAGGAGCCGGATTTCCTGATACTTGGTCTCACTTAACATCGTATCACTGAGCAATTGCAGCGTTGCAAATGCATCCTGTAGATGATCTCCAATAGCGGATTCAGATGACGCCTGCAAGCCCTGTTCGTGCGCCTTAAGCTTCTGGATTTTGTCGCTGAGGGTTTCATGGAGGACAGCTTCTGGGGCACGATCACGACATAACTCCTCGAGTGGCGGAATCCCCATTATTCGGAGAATTTGTTGGTCTGGAGGGGTGCTTTCGTCGAAGGAGGAGGCGGATGAGCGGCGACGGTGGGCAGATCGGGATAGACTGGGCGATGCAGGCTTGTGGCTCCTGGATTGGAGCGGACTTCGGGGCTGCTCGGGTTTTTTGGGCCGAGAGAGGTCAATGGAATTTATCTCTGAGCTGAGGAGTTTCAAAACAGCGTTTAATGTTGCAATGTGACTCTGGTACGCCTCCACGTGACGCTTGAAGACCTCAGCGCGGTCGATGAGAAAGGTGGTGGATTCCGAAATCTAAATAAGGTTAGCATAGCACTTAATATTTATAACGGTGCTTAAACGGACATATTCTATAATCGTTTTCGACTTCTCAAGTCCTTGCTTGTCCTGGGAGGCAATAGCTCGAACGGCACAGTCGAGGTATCGCTGCTCGGCAGACATCTGTGCGACAGGAAGAATCTCGGAGTACAGGGAGTCTAGCTCCGCTTGAAGTTCCATGACCTCCTGTTCATTTTGAGGAGTGCCTTTCCTCTCCACTTGATGCACGCCCAAGGCCTCGATGTAGGCTCGGTCAAGGCGCAGCCGGACACCCTCCACCGTGTACTTTATGAGACTATATACACATGAGCAATAGCAAGTGGTTAACGATGTTTGGGAATTACCTGGTACAGAGCTTCCGTATCCGTTCAAACGTATCATTTTCTGGGGACATCCCATACTGCAATGTCTTTGATAGTTTCTGAAGGCTAGAAATGATCTTGTCGTCGGACCGTAGCAGGTTAGTTGACTGCTGGATTAACGCCGCGTCCATCGCGGCACATTGTGTCTTATTGCTGCTGACATGTTCTGACAGCGCACTGGCTGCTTCTTCAACCTAATCCGTATGAGAATGGGATATATCTTGGGTCTTTACGGTCAACTTACTTCGGCATTAACCTGGTCTAGCGCCTCCTTCCACAACCTGTGCTGTACGGCATTTGCCATAGACCTGCGCTGCCGTTGCTGTAATTCTGTCGCGGCCAGCGTTGATAAAGCAGCTTGCTGAATTTTGAGAATTTCATTTTGCTTATCGATGGCAGCTGTGGAACTCTGTAGTTGCCTTGTCGCGGTTTGGATATCAAGGTCTTCAAACGCTCGCACTTGTCCTAAATCCACCAAGGACCCAAGCAACCTGGCTTCGCCTATTTCTTCAAGCGAGTTATATCTGCACAGTAATTAGCATCTAGTTCTCTCTTGGTATTGGTAGGCATACAGGTTTAACTCCTCTTTGGTGAGCATGGTCTTGGAATCTATGGTCTCCATAATCCAAGTCTTGAACGACTTGTCGTCTCCTGAGTCTACATCCCTCAGCTGATCAGACGACTTGACAGTCAAGTTTCTGTCCTGAAGACACTCGGTCAAGAGCACAGAGGGGGCCTTGACTGGCATGCTTATATCAGATTAAGTGACCTGGGAGGTTCTATAGCACGTGATGGATTATGAGGGTGAACGAAGTTGCAGGGGATACAATCAACATCGCTTATGTCAGCGGCCCCTTTAATCTTGAGGCATACCGTTGATAGGGAAACGTGTTGAGGCGGACATGTTGATCTTATAGTTTATGGGTATTGGAACGTGGAAAATTAATACACTTTGTTATGCTCAGTTTAATATTATATGACTTGTAATGAGTGGATTTGAAATCATTACGGGGTATGCTTGTACCAGATACAACTAACTGTAATACTTCTTTTCCATTCAGAAATCACCTATAGTAGACCAGGAGCACTATAGGTGTGTGATACATAAATCGCCACAATAAGTCCAATACCGATACGCCTCAACTCCAGCCCCAAATAGTCCGTAATCTCATCATGCCCAATGCTTACAATAGCAGGTAGCAGTGGCTACCAGCCAATCTACAGGTTGCTTCTAACATTACGCAGTGGCATATCATGCATCCCTCTCCTTCACTCTGGTAGTCTTTTTGGCTGTCCCGATGTGAGTGTTGTGCACCTTCGTGGCAAACTTCAAGCTCGTCAACGTCTCTTTTATATGAGCCTCAAGAGGGCTGATCATGACAAACATGAGCGTCTTGGAGTTGCCTCCGAGGGAGTATTGGAGAAGGTAGGTCAACTGTGTACACGTTAGTTCTGGAACAAGAAATGCCATGGAATAACTTACCTTCGAGTTCCGATAAGGGATATGACCTCCTTCCTTGCCCTGGCCCAAAGCGCCGATTACATCTCCCAGACAGCTTAAACTTTTGTTAATGTTCTGTGTCTCCTTCATTCGATCACCCTCCGCACCCGACTGCTTAAGTCTCTCTGATCCAGCCAGGTCGACAAGATTTAATGTCCCTTCCGAAGTCTCGCCAGTGGTGCTGTTGCGACCAATAAGCTTCAAAATGAAGACAGAATGCGACCGAGAAGAACGCTCGTTAGATTTCGTAGCCGCCACGCTCCGGTTGGCGTCAGCTCGCCTTAGGATAGATTCCACAGCATCTGGTGAGTCGAGCTCAACGGATTTAAGGTTGGTGACAGCCGTCTGTTTCTTCTTTTCGTCGTGGCGAATTTCGTGCTTGACTTTGTCGAATTCCCTGGGGTTGCCCAGAAGATCATGGATTTCTTCGTTGTAGACTTCCACAAATGAACCTTCCATTGAATACGTCCACCCCTTGTCTTGTAACTCAGTGGCTTTTTCGTATATCATGTGTGTGGCTCGTGGAATCATGCCGTCCGATGAAGACATTGTGTGCGTCTTTCCTGCTCCTGTTTGGCCATAACAGAAGATGCAAACATTGTAACCATCCAATGCGCTCTGCACAAGCTGTGATATTTCACTAAAAACCTCCTCATTTGTAGTAGATGGTCCAAAGGTGCGATCAAACGTGAATGCGTTGGTCTTCCGAGTTATTGTCCCAAGGCTGCTCTTCTCTTCTGGCCCTTGGAGTTCCAATTCTTTGGACTCCTTGTCAATATCCGGATACAGAATCTTCGCTACCTCCTCCGATGGATTTGTCGGTCGTACTCGGCACATGACTCGAATGTTACCTTTAAGCTCTTGGACTTGGTTGAAAAGAATGCGGCGGAGAGTCTCTTCTTTGGTGAGCTTAGATTTCGATTCTTGAGCCTGCTCTAATGCGTCCTGCAACTGCTTTTCCATGAGCTCAAATCGGTCAGATTGTGCTTGGCTTCCAGATTCAAGAAACTGGATCCTGTCACGTAATGAACGCACAGTTCCCTCGAGGTTCACAACAGACGAAGACGAGTCATTCAGTGACTTCTGCAGGTTTGCCTTGGAGGTTTGTTCTTGATCAAGCTCCGCCTTCATCTGCTCAATTTGTTCCCGCATACTTTGGATTTCGCGGTCTTTATTACCAACTGCCAGATCGAGATTTTGTTGTTCAAGAGTTATTTGCTTCTTTACTTCATAGAGGTCTTGTACACGGCGACGTTCTTCTTCTTCAAGGTGCGAAGCATTTCGGCGCTCTAGTTCTCGGATTTCGTCTCGATGGGCTTTATCCAATCTTTCAAATTCGTCATCAGTATTTCTCTGGTGAGTCTTCTTCAGGCGGTCAATCTCTTCTGTCATATCTCGGCGTAGTTGATCCAACTCCCGACGATGGTTGTGAATGGCATCATCCAGTTCGATGCGATGAGATCGTCGGTCATCATCTGCAGCTGTCATCATAGTATTAGCGCGCTGCCTTGCAGCATCCAGTTCCGCCTGCTGAGAAGCTATTTTCGAGTCGTAAGTCATGTTTTGGGATTCCAACGCCGTTTTCTTGGCTTCAAGTGCAGAATTCTTCGACTCCAGCTGTAGTACTATGGCAAAAGTCAGCGTTAAACACTCTCTTGATTCACAAGCTGCCACTTACGTTTGATCTTGTAGTGCCTAACGGTCTCCTCGAGACTTTTTCGCTCCACATTGGTATCTGCCATAGTGTCTTTCAATTCGAAGTACATCGCTTCCATGTCTGCAATGCGACCATGAACATCCCATCCTGTAAAGCCGGTTATGTTAGAATCTTTGGATAAAAAGGGAGTTTTCACGGGGGAAGGTATTGGAGCCCTTGATGGGGTAGCTGGAGTAGCACTTGACACTTCTGCTTTGGATGGAATTGGAATCTGAGAAGGAGTTTTGGGGAGACTGGAGCTCTTCTCGGAAGCTCCAAACAAGACCAGAGAATTATTATTGCAGTCGTTCCGTAACTCCCGCGGTACAGTACCAGGTGGACCCATTGACAACCCTGGAAAATAATTGAATGGGTTGGTGGCATCTGGCAGCAAACTTTCTGCCTCGTGGTCATCGATTCGTAGTCTACTTAGAGCAGTGCTGATAGAGACTTCTCTTGACGATGGACCTTGGGGCTCAAATTGGGGAGGGGAGCGCCGCGTCTTGTGGTACTGTAACTGATGATGTCCAGAGTGGGAAGGATGTGAGGACATATGTGAATAGTGAGTCCTACCCTGTCGTTTTCCGGTTGCTGGACCGCCTCCAGGATCAAGGTGGTCGTCCATTGCTGTTGCGGGGCGCTTAGATGAGGCTGTATTCGACCTGGCCCTGGACATTGAAGTCTGTGGCCGGGCCCCATATGACGACGGAGGACGAACTCCTGGCCCGACGCTACTTGCAAAGCTGCTGGCTGAGGTATTTCTTGAGGAGGAAGACTGTGGCCGGGATGATGTTGATGAGGCCATAGACGTGCTGCGTGCACTGGTGAGAGAGGTCCCTTTGACTACTGAGCGTCCTGGCGCAAAGCTTGTATTTGGTTTCGCAGGCTCTCCAGCGCGCTCCACAAGTGTCTTTCGTTTTGGCTCATCATTGCCGACCATCTGTAAGGAGGCTGTTGCTGTTGGTGACTGTGTTAGCTGGGCATGTTTTAATCGGAATCAAGACCATACAGTATGTGTATTTCAAGCTTTGCGGCACTGTTCCGGGAGGCCTAAGGCGAGAATTGTTTTGCGACTCAGTTATTTCCGACAAGCCCTTGCCAGGTGATGGTATGCGGCTTGGTGGGCGAATCTGGGATTTCTTCATAATCTGATTGTGAAATGACTTAGTTATGGTTTCGATGTACGAGTACCCGAGAACCGGTCGCAAAGGTTGGTTGCTGTGGAACTTACGGTGCTTTCTACTTCGTCCATGGCGCACAACAATAAGGAATGTCTATTGACTTTGAGCAACCATGCCCCAGAGTATTTCGAGCGGATTGAGTTTGGTTGGCGAAGTTGTGATTGTCGTTGTGATTGTCGTTGGTCTTTGGTCTTGATACAAGTTGTCTCGGGTCCAAATATGGATTGAGAGTAAACAAACTCCACAGTAGCCTTGCACAGTACAACCTCAAATCTTAGGCATCAATGCATGCGACCACAGGTATGCGACATTCAACGCGATCACAAGCCAGCGACTCTACACAAAATCAGGAATATCAAATCCACACCTTGATGGGAAAGTCTGGAGTGAACGAGCTTTTTGTCGTATAGAGAAGGCGACCTGTCGCTAGCTGCGACGAGATAAGTTATCTCCTTACTGTGACGGAGTAGCAGTCGCACCCACGTCTGCCCTCCCGTTTATTTACATTCGCTTTCTCACCTCGACGATTACGTTACGGTGAGATGGAGAAGTATTCTCAGTTTCGGGATCGAGGTGAATATTAACACCACATCTGTTGCATCAGTGATAGGTCATAGCTAAACTGATTTCGTAGGATCTGGCATCGCGCCTTTCTTTCCCGTCACCTCGCCAACTTCCACCCTTTATCTTCCTGTCAATATATTTCTCTTCGTCGTGAAGCTTCCACTGTTTCTTGCGATCACCGTGGCCTACTTTTTCTTTTTACAATGGCTTCCGCTTGGGGCATTTATCAGAAAGGCTATGCTATGGGTTATACTCGGAGCACCGGGAATTTGGTGGATCGACTTGCAAATTGACGGAGTGAAGAAAGGCTCTCTCGCACGCGAGAAACAAAGGCTTCCGGCGCCGTCAAGCATAATAGCTTCTTCGTTCACATCTCCGGTGGACGCCCTGTACCTGGCAGCAATCTTCGACCCGGTTTTTACAGTCTCTTACCCCAGCACAAGGCAAGTGCGTCCTATATCACTCTTGGGCGCGATGCTTCGTGCACTATCTGGACCAGAAGAAGCTCCACCTGCAGGTGTAAAGCTTGTCGACCTTGGGACGCTCGTATCCGAAAACCCGGACAGCGTGATTGTGGTGTTTCCTGAGTGTACCACGACGAATGGGAAGGGAATTCTCCCACTGAGCCCCAGCCTTCTGAATGTTCCGTCAACCACAAAGATATTCCCCATCAACCTGCGGTATTCGCCCCCAGACATTACTACACCAGTACCAGGCCGCTACTGGTCATTTTTATGGAATCTTCTATCCCAGCAGACGCACTGTATCCGTGTCCGTATCGCGGAAGCCGTTTACAACACAGCCAAGCCAGGAGATGTATCTTCCGAGAAGAAGGACAAATACCTCGTTAACTTCCTTGATCTTCCCGAAGAGGATTCTTCTGATACGAGCTCGGGAATGAGAAAGAGGGTGGTTAATGCTGAGGAACAGAAGGTTTTGGACCAGGTGGGTGAGGCATTGGCGAGACTCGGGAGAGTCAAGAGGGTAGGACTCACGGTCAAGGATAAGGCAGCATTTGTAGGAGCCTGGTCTAAGAAGATCAGATGAGACAGTAACCCCCAAAATGGCAAAATGGCAAATTCTAGATATAATTTTTTGTTCACACTATGCTATGCCCTTAATTGATCCATATTATCTGTCTATGTACAGTACGAGTTTGTCTGCGGGGTAAGTGGAACTGTAATGGCTTGGCTGAATGAGGGGTTTCCGTCGTCCAGCCGTCCAAGGAAATGCAAGGTTACATACAGTATAGTACTGTGCATACCGTACACACTTGTACTCGAACATACTCCACCATCGCCGCCTCGGACTTTCCCAATCCATTCTCAATCGTGCTTGATGCGCATTTCTAACTGGACGTCAAGCTGGGGACACTGATGTAACTGAGCTACAGTACATGTAGGTTCGGTTGTAGCCGCGCCATGAGAGAGGGACCAGAAAAACTTAAAAACACCTCCTCATCCCACTTCCACGATGTTGTTTTTGACAAACTTACTACGTACTATACCTGCTATGCAACAACTTATTTCCTTAATTGTAATCTGACCTCTGGCGCGAGGATTCTCTCTATATATATACTGTACTTTAACCATTGGAAAGGAAGCTCTGGAAGAACCCAGGCAAAAAGCCGGCAGGTACTCCATCCCATCCCACCATCTCCTTTGAGGGTACGACACGAGAACGGCGCCCTTTCCGTCCGCTCAAACCACAAAATCCCATCTGCGCTCACTCACACGGCTCAGCACCTTGGCCCTGTTAAAACCCCGTTAACCTAATTTATCCTAGTCCTATCGCCCGTAGGTTCTGGATCCTTTCGTGACAGCGACTTGCAACCAGCCAGTCACCTTAGAACGACGTTACAACGCAGACTCATCATCCCATCTGACCCCAAGAGAAAGAGGTCAAGGTCAAAAGCAATTTCCTCCGTACGGATCTTCACCACCAACGTTACACACCCTTTCACCTTCTCCCGAATCTATACACGTCCAAAACAATGTTGCTTGTTATCAGCATTCCTAAACTGGCCCTATTCCTATTTCTCTCGTGAGAGCGAGCACAGCAGCTCATCATTGAGGCCGTCCCCATCGTGGTGCAACAATGACGGACCCGAACCACCACATCCCAACCGCTCGCAGCGAAGAAGACAACGACTCAGAGACGGATTTTGCAGCCCAACATTTAATAGGTCATGAAGAGCCTCTAATTACCCAAAATGATACACACGACGTTAAGGCGCTGCCGCGACGCACACCAGAGGACCTTGTCTTCACTTCTACGACGATAGCACCCTCACCACCCCCACCGACCTTATGCGCCCCGTCGCAATTACGAACGGCCCTGTCTTCCCTGAATACGGCGCAGCAGAGATATTCGGGCGCTTCGAGTCCTGATTCAAGCCCTGTCAGCGCATCCAGGCTACGAGTACAAAGAAGCTTCACTTCACGGCCACCGGAGCTCGATGCGTCAGATACCAACCAAGAACGGCGTGCCTCAAAGGCCATCCCTATTGCGAGGACACCGAGTATAAAGCAGGTTCTTGCGAGCAGCTTTGGGTCAAACTCGTATACTGGCTCCGCACCAAACTCGGCCTTATCTTCGCCTCAACTGAATGCAATGCCGGACCTTACACCCCTTCCGTCCCCAATTATGTCAAATGACTCTCCTGGCCCATGGAGGCGGCGCATATCTAGGTCCGAATACAATGAATCCAGGACGGCCCCGCTGACTGGGGATACGGCTCTCGTGACGCCAAACGGAGAACTGATCCCGTCAGCTATTGCGAACGAGTCTAAGCGTCGCGCATACCACGGACTTCTCCTAAACTCAGAAGACGTTGCCTCCAAACCGTCTAGCTACAAAAGAGAGATACAAAACTCAACTCACGCAAGGAATAGAAGCCTGAGCGAATACACGCCTGATCCGCAAGCGCCTAAGAAACGCCAGCAGTCTGTTTCAGGCACTTATCCTAAAGACATGCCTCCTGATCATGCTCCACCCGTAGATTCCCATATGCGCAGAGAGCCGAATCTTGCGCTGCAGAGAGGCATTGCGCCAGTACCACGGCCGCCAACGCCGCCATCCAGTCGAACCGGAGGGGAGAGCAGCGAGAGTGATTCGGCTGCTTCCAGCGCAACAAAGCCAATAGTAAAGGATTATAAAAAGAGGTCTAAACATATTTATTTCGATGCGGTCACCATCGCCGACAATAGGAAAAGAAGATGGAGGGCATTGAAGCTATTGGGAGAAGGCACTTTCAGCAAAGTTGTCCTAGCAACAAGCCAGTTGGAAAAAGACAGTAATACGGTAGATGAAGATGATGTATCTGTTCCAGATAATGGCGCCACGGAAGCCGCATTAACTGAGGCGGACACCAAGAAACTGGTAGCTGTCAAGATATGTGAGCATGGCCCTAAAGGAGGCGCATCTGAAGAAAGAGTGGAAATTTCTCTGAAACGAGAGCTGGAGCTTATGAAATCGATACACCACCCGTCATTGGTAGAGCTACAAGCATGGAGCATGGAGGAGTCTAGAGCGATTCTTGTGCTAGGTTACTGCCCCGGCGGAGACCTATTCGAAGTTGCAAGCCAGCGCCCTTCAATCCTTGGTCCATCTCTTCTCCAACGGATATTCGCGGAGATCGTTTCTGCTATACAATATTTGCATGAGCGCCACATAGTTCATCGCGATATCAAGCTAGAGAGTAAGTGAAAACTGATTGCAAGCCTTTTGTCACGTACCTAACAATGGTAGATGTCTTGGTCAATCTCCCACACTCGGAGCTAACAAAACCCACCGACTGGAGTACATACCCACACTCTGTCATAACTGTTACGGACCTTGGCTTGGCAAGATATGTAACGGATGATGAGAAGCTTACGACAAGATGTGGAAGCGATGATTATGCAGCTCCAGAGGTGATCATGGGCCAGCCATATGATGGTCGTGCCGTAGACGCCTGGAGCCTGGGCGTCCTTCTCTATGCCCTTCTGGAGTCGAGGCTTCCTTTTGACCCCAACCCTGGGCTATCGGAGGGCCACAAGCAGCGATCCAGAACCTCCCACCGGATTGCCAGGGTAGAGTGGAGATGGGTCATGTGGGAAGGTGAAGACGGCGACCATGAGGCAGATGAAGCGAAATTTGAAGCTGCTGGCCTGAAGACGGCAATGGAAATAACCGAAAATCTTTTGAAAAGAGCGCGCAGTCGATGGACTGTAGACAGGGTGGCACAGATTGAGTGGGTGAAAAATGCTATTCGTGTTGATGGCGGCATTAGGTTTCGGAACGAAGAAGAGGTGGGAAAGGCGGACGACATAGAGTTATTATGATACTGACAGGAGAGTCCGCCTGTATATTTAATTATTGGACAATCATTACCGTGAATACTAAAGGAGTTTTGGGAAAGGTGGGGTTTGTCACATAGGAATGGTTCTGACAAAGGGGGGCAAGGGAACTTCGGGGATAATGGAACGGAAAGGTTGGCAATTTAGATACAGCTGTACAAACATTATAGGCGGGTAACAGGATGACCATTAATTGAGACCTTGGATCCTGAATCTGGTTTTGTGCCTCAGTTGAGATTCGAACAATTGTCTGTGCAACAGCTCTCCCCTCATAAGCGTGGATTGACCAATTATAATCGTGAGATATCAAACACATCCGGAGTTAAGATCTTCCGGCTCCCCGGAATCGGAGAGTTGCTCTAAAATATTAGAAGGTATACTTTTGAGTCACCTCACCACTTCACAATTAACAAGTGGCACTGCGCTGTAGTGTCTTTCGAGGCATAGCTTAGCTATTGACGAGGAATCGAAAGTTTGGCACGACCTTGTTGACACGAAAGCAAGGTTTCTAGAAGCTTTGAGCTTTTGACGTCAATCGCCGTCATGCACGCACGATTGAGAGTCCGGGCGAATGCCCGTGTTCTCAACTTCCCCAGAGCTCCCAATTATATGTACGATTATCTCTATGATTTGTTATGGATATGATGTAGCTGCTAACTATATAACCGCAGTCGTTCATTATCATCCGCACAACCTCTCCGCAATGCAGCCCCCAAGGACTCGGAGCGACAGCTCAACAAGACCTCGGCTACAATCACGCAGCCAAAATCGCAAGGTGCCTCGCAGGCTATGCTGTATGCCACGGGCATGACAGAGGAGAGGTTAAACAAGGCGCAGGTTGGAATTTCGTCCGTCTGGCACTCTGGCAACCCTTGCAACATGCATCTCCTCGACCTCAACCACAGAGTTAAGGAAGGTGTTGAAAGAGCTGGACTTGTGGGATACCAATTCAACACCATTGGTGTATCAGATGGTATTTCCATGGGAACTACCGGTATGCGTTACAGTTTGCAGTCGAGAGATTTGATTGCAGACAGCATTGAGACTGTGATGGGCGGACAATGGTATGACGCAAACATCTCAATTCCAGGCTGTGACAAGAACATGCCTGGTGTGATGATGGCAATGGGCCGTGTCAACCGCCCCTCATTGATGGTTTACGGAGGATCCATCAAGCCAGGTTGCTCCGCGACCCAAGGCAACGCTGATATCGATATTGTCTCTGCGTTCCAGGCATACGGACAGTTTATTACCGGCGAGATCACGGAGGAAGTTCGTTACGATATCATCCGCCACGCCTGCCCAGGAGGTGGTGCTTGTGGTGGTATGTACACTGCCAACACCATGGCTACCGCAATTGAGGTCATGGGCATGACCCTGCCAGGTTCTTCGTCTAACCCAGCTGAGTCCCAGGCGAAGTACCTTGAGTGTTTGGCTGCGGGTGGTGCTATCAAGACTCTCCTGCAAGAAGACATCCGTCCCAGTGACATTCTTACTCGCCAGGCCTTTGAGAACGCCATGATCGTTGTCATCATCACCGGTGGCTCTACCAACGCCGTCCTGCATTTGATTGCCATTGCCGACTCCGTTGGCATCAAGCTTACCATCGACGACTTCCAGGCCGTCTCTGACCGCATTCCATTTTTGGCCGACCTCAAGCCCTCCGGAAAGTACGTCATGGCCGACCTTCACAACATTGGTGGCACACCGTCGCTCCTCAAGTTCCTCCTGAAGGAAGGATTAATCGACGGCACTGGCATGACTGTTACCGGAAAGACGCTCGCCAAGAACTTGGAGGCCTTCCCAGAATTCCCAAGCGACCAAACCATCATCCGCCCGCTCTCCAACCCAATCAAGGAGACTGGACACATCCAGATTCTCCGTGGCTCGCTCGCCCCTGGCGGCTCCGTTGGAAAGATCACTGGAAAGGAGGGCCTGACATTCACTGGTAAGGCGAAGGTCTACGACGCTGAGAGTCTCTTCATTGAGGCGCTCGAGCGTGGCGAGATTAAGAAGGGCGAGAAGACCGTTGTTGTCATCCGCTACGAGGGCCCCAAGGGAGGACCTGGTATGCCAGAGATGCTGAAGCCCAGCTCCGCCATTATGGGAGCTGGTCTCGGTAAGGACTGTGCATTGGTCACTGATGGACGCTTCAGCGGTGGATCCCACGGCTTCTTGATCGGTCACGTTGTCCCTGAGGCCCAGGAGGGTGGACCAATCGGACTTGTGAGAGATGGGGATGAGATTACCATTGATGCGGAGACGAAGAGGATGGATCTGAACGTATCGGAGAAGGAGCTGGCTGAGAGAAGGAAAACCTGGGTTGCACCCCCGTTGAAGTACAAGAAGGGAACTTTGGCGAAGTACGCTAGGTTGGTCAGCGATGCCAGCCGTGGATGCATCACGGATGGTGAAATGGACGAGAATCAGAAGCGCTAAGCATGTAAATATTAAATTAAAATGGCTCTGGAGGAATTTGTTCGGCCTATGGGATTTTTTTCAATTAGCAATTTCAAACAAACTTATATCACTGGATTGGGGCAGGGGTCTCCTAGTGATAAGTCTCTGACAAATGCAAGTTTTTATTTGTATTAGGTGGATTTGGAGTCATTATATGGTGCTTTGCAACCCAGCTTTCCAGACTGTTCCCTCCGCAACATGCCGCTACCTTTTGCTACGCCGTTTGGGGTTCTGAGGGTAGGGCTGAGAGTATTGCTGTGGCTGGTGGGGTGAGCTATCTCGTATGTCTCAGACTGCAAAAGCAATATCTCAGCGTCCCAGTTCGACGAGTACAACTCCCCCACCCCAAGTGTGATTTCCCTACCCCTTAAACAGTCCTAGTCCTCCAAGTTGAATCTACGCTATCTGCCCACCGGCAGATCAAACGTCTTCAAATTCAACATCCTCCTCACTCTCAACCTCCTCTGCCGCCGCCGGCTCTTCAATTCTTACTTTCTTCGATGCTCTCCCACTTTCTGGAGTTCCTGGTCCTGTCGCAGGGCTACCAACCCCTGTGCTCGTGCCCCCACTGGGACTGCCTGTCCCCGCTTTGGACTTCCTCAGTGCGCTGGCAAGACCACCGGCGTGCGGCTTAGAATCCGAAACGGCGCTGCTCGGTGTGCCAACCCCAGACCCGGTAGCTGGCACTACGTCCTCGAAACCCAGATCTTCATCCTCATCTTCGTCCTCATCCGTCTCGAACTCATCTTCTGCCTCCTTTTCTGCTTCTCGAGCCTGTTCGGCTTTAAGTTGTGCAAAGTAGTCATCAATCGCAGCTCCATCACCCGAAAATGATGGCGTGGTGACAATATCTTTCTTGTCCTTGCTTTCTTCCAGAGACTCTGACTTCATGGCTGGTTGCGAGGTAGGGATAATCTGTTCACCAGTCACAGTACTGTGTGTGAAATGAGCCGGAAGCACATTTTGCGCCAAATACGCTTCTCTGCGCGCTTGCTCAGCAGCCTTGTCTGCCTCTGTTGGCCCTTCAGAGGCTGTAACTGTGACTGCAATGCTTGTTGGGCCGGTATTTGTGAGGCCTTTGACTGCTGTGGGCCTATTAGATAACGAGTCGACAGGGACTGTCTCATTTGCAGGATTGAGCAAGGCATCTCGAATGACTGGTCGTGCAGCTGCGTAGGCGACCTCAAAGGTGCTATCGGGAATAACCACTTGATCAATTTTCGGAAGTAGGTCCGTGATAAATCTGAATTGAGCATTGAGTCTTGTAGATTGCTCATGGCCACCACTGTCTCCGTGCTCATTGGGGACAAGCGGGTAACTGCACTTATGGCACAAGAAACCCAGCTTGTAGTCGATCTTGTCCAGAACCTCCAATTGTGTCCATTCAGACTGGCAACGTGGACAGACATATTCCTTCCTCTCTTCCTTCGGGATGGTATTGCCTTGAACATTCTTGTCGATACGGTATACCCGCCACTTGATTGCATCCACCGTGGCGCGATAATCGATATAGTAATAGGTCCTGTTTATGGGACGTTGTTGGCCCTCTTTTGTCTCAGATCGGGTATGTCTGTTTGAGGAATCATGTCAGAAAGTTATCTCTGGGAAGGCCTGTTCAAACATACACTGCCAAGAACCTGTCTTCCCTGAGCTTTCCGCATAACTTGTGAAGCTCTTTGGTGTTCATACCCATCAGAAAGGCCATATCGTCATCTCGCAAGCTGTCCTGGTCAACACCACAATCAGGTTTACAAACCACCCCAAGGGACATACGCTGAGTGTATAATCAATGCATCAATGACCAGAATATGCTTTGTGTCATAAAAGGCTCTCATGACAGAGCGTACGAGTGTCTGGGCGAGATCCATAGTTGGTTTCTTAACCTGAAAGTAGTTATTATGTTGATAGGTATGCCGGGCTGAAATCTAAGAGCCTTATTTCTAATGCGCCTAGAAAAGTGAACACCGGATGATCTGTGGTGGCAGGAAGGTTGGCGGATGGATTATATTAACTGTAGTTGTATTTGCGCGCATGCATGGCCAGATGCACCATGCGCTGTGGTCATGAGATTTGCTTTGAAGAGAATAGGTAGAATAGAGCTCGTTGTTAGTTAAAACTGAACCAGTATATCAGTGTTTGACGACTAGGAAGTTAATGTTCTACCTGACTTTGAAGGATCTTGGTTATCGGCAAGGCTGTAAGGCTGATAGAGTAGATAAGCGCCGTTCATGCACAAGCGGCGTCTCCTAGGCGCCCCTAGCGTTAAATTTTTGGAACTGGATTGAAAATAAACTCAGAACGCCAGACATTGGCGATGATAAGCATCAGATACTTGGCAAGATGGCGGATCAAAACAAATCCTCTGGCGATGCTCCAGTCGCAACCAATTCGAGGCCTATCGATGACCGCGACCGCCATGGCAAAGACAGGAAGCGCGGGAATGACGGCGGGCGAGAATCTGGGAAAGGCAGAGGGCGCGGGGGCCGCGGGGGTAATAACCATGGTTCGCGCCAGCCGAAGACAGAGAAGGGTAGGGGGGAATGGAGGTTTGTTTATGAGAAACCCTACGTCGACTTCCGACTAACTAAATAAGCCGAAATCTAGTTGACAAGCGCAAGAGGAATGAGGAGGAGCAAGAGTCAAAGAGACGAAAAATCGCCGAGTTCGGAGAGGGCGCTGTCCCTGAATCACCATTTTCGAAAGAGGAAATAGCAGCAGAGGAGCGCAGACCAAAGCGCAAAGTGGCTGTGCTTATTGGTTATGCAGGATCTGGATACAAGGGCATGCAAATAAATACGACAGAGAAGACCATTGAAGGAGACCTCTTTTCCGCCTTTGTGACGGCAGGGGCCATTTCCAAAGCCAATGCAGATGACCCAAAGAAGTCTTCGCTGGTCCGCTGTGCGAGAACGGACAAAGGTGTCCACGCTGCAGGCAATGTCATATCTCTAAAACTGATCATCGATGAGGAAGGCATCGTGGAGAAAATAAACGCTGCATTGCCTCCACAGATCAGGGTCTGGGGCATAGAGAGAACCAACGCATCTTTCAGTTGCTACCAGACATGCGATTCCAGATGGTATGAATATCTCATCCCGACTCATTCGTTCTTGCCGCCCCATCCCCAGAGCTATCTTGCAAAGAAGCTGGTTGATTCCGCTACCGCAGAGGGAAACCTGGAATCCTACAACTCTCGCCAGGAAGAGGTTGCTGGTTTCTGGGCTGAAACTGAGGAGAAATACATCAAGCCGATACTTGAAAAACTTGACCCAGAGCTACGAGCCAGTGTTATGTCAGCTATCCATACAGAGGATGTGGTTGAGAACCCTGATGAGAATACCGAGGAGGAGAAAACCTCCTCGGGGAAACCTGCTACTCCTGCATTAAAAGATGAATCCGAAGGTGGTCAAGTTAAGGAGAGCACATCAACAGATTCTACGGGGGATGCGAAAACATCTCCTGAGACAACGGATGACAAGGAGGACTTACCCGCTACTATCACTGCCGCAGCGGGCGAGAAGATAGAGAAGATACCGAAACCTCTCACTCCATTGGAGGCGGCCATTAAAGAAGTTAAGGCGGCTTATATTAAAGCCAAGAAGGCGTATAGAATTTCCGAGACTCGCCGCGATAGAGTGCAAGAAGCACTGTCCGCATATCTGGGAACACGAAACTTCCACAACTATACGATTCAGAAGAGTTTCAAGGAAGATTCCGCAAAGCGAGTCATCCGCTCATTCACTGTAAACCCTGAACCTGTTTACGTTAATGACACCGAATGGTTGTCTCTCAAGGTCCATGGGCAATCTTTCATGATGCACCAAATCAGAAAGATGGTGGCTATGGCAGCGCTGGTGGTCCGATGCGGCACTCCAATCGAGCGCATTAATGAAAGTTACCAGAACCATAAAATCAGCATTCCAAAAGCGCCTGGGCTTGGTCTCCTTTTGGAGAGGCCCGTATTCGATAGCTACAACAAGAGAGCCGTCGAGGACCTTCAACGAGAGAAGATTGATTTTACGAAGTATGAGGCAGAGATCAACGAGTTCAAACAACGGGAGATTTACGAGAGAATATACAGGGAAGAAGAGAAGGAGAACCAGTATGTAGTCCACCCATATTCCGATATTAAAAACTAACCCCTTGCAGATTCCATACCTTCTTCCACCATATCGATCACTATCGCTCAGAGTACTTCCTATGGGTTACCTCCACCGGCATCTCTGCTGCCAAACAGGCCTTGGGCAAGGGTGAAGTCCCCAGTAAGGCGGACGAAGCGGTGGGATTGGGCTCTGAAGATGAGGGTGGAAATGGTGCCGAAGAGGGTTGAACCGGAGCTCCCTGAAAGATAGGAAAGGGTGCGATGTACATGTATAGATAGGGTTCTATAAGCTAGCCACTATCTGTAGTTTCGTTTGGGCCAATTTGGTTTCCCACAAAGGCGACCCTTATTGCTAATTCTGCCAATGTCACATACATACTCCAATTGAAAGGTCGTGCCCGTCTAACACATATATACTCCATTGAAAGCCAATGCCCGTCTAACACATACATACTCTATCGAGAACTAATGTCCCATCTTTAGCTACCTAAAAATGACATGCAGCATTCGTAAGCCTGGTGTAGGTGTATGGAGAAGTGCGGATCACGATGACGGGTCGTCGTTGTGGGGTTCACGCCTTATGGTCTGTTTTGTATGACGATGTATGGTTCTGGGCTCAACTAGCCTACTAGCCTGAACCAAAGTCCATGATGCAACATTTGCCAACCCCATAGTTCAACCACAGACAATCATGGGCCATTAGAAGCAATCATAAGCAATCATAGGCCGGTATAAACAATCCCATAGGCTGGGGTAGTCCCATTCTCTCCACTATGCACTAACATGATATGATAGACTCCGTTATCCATAGTACCGTAAACTCCGCTTTTGGGCCAGTTAGAGCCACTCAGAGTCAGAAACGGCAGCTTAAGCTCAATATTCCCAGCTCAACTTCCCGCAGCTATACATCACACGCTGTAAATGACTTCGCTGCCAGCTGAGCTGCTTCCACTTGCTATCGGCCGGATGCCCGTCATTGCCAGTCCACCACAGCTCAAAAGTCGACCAGCCATAGCTATAAGGTAGAGTGACAAACCGTACGATTCAAATATATAGAAATAGAGCCCGAATTGTGCTGTATATACAAGTGCTTTATACCCTCTTACATCTCTTGCAGTACATACATACATACACATACATGTGCAGTTAGTTACATACAATCAATAGAGTACGATCAGTACATGCAAAGCCAAAATACTCCTCCACACACAGCCAAACATACAGCCAACCAGCACGAGCCAACCCAAACCCTCCCACCTCCCACACCTCTCGTCACCTCACCACCCCACTTCAACATCCCTCCCCTCTCTTACGCTTCTACCCTCCCCACGCTTTCACGACTTCAAAACACTACAACCTCCTCTCCTCTCTATTCCGCCTCAATCCAATACAGAATTGAGGTAAATATTCTTCTTCTACCTCCCGACCCTTTCCTTTTCTTCACCACTGCTACTATATCGAAAACACTACCCGGAGTTCGCGTCCAGACCCGAAACGACACCACAGCGTCATTGCTGTTCAGCATCATTATCACCCAATTTATTCTTAACACTGGCTGAACCTCGATATTCAATATTCAACATTAGCGATCAAATTCACCCAATTGATCACTCCAGGCTGGGCAGTTCACCCTGAGACTGAACTGGCCATATCCGCTTCATACGTTTTGTCGTAAACGTCTGTCTGCGACACATTGGTCTCACCGATCGGCAAACAACTACCGTTGACGGCCATTATCTGCTCCCAAATCCAACGCCATATTGGCAACTTTGTGCCTTGCCCAGGAAATCTTACTGCTCTATGCCGGCACTCGGCTTTCTCAAAAAGATTCGGACGAAGGACGCGCCTGGACCCGACGGTACAGCTACGAATGCGAACGACGCAGTAGAGCAGTCCACAAAACCCGCTGCAGGCGATAATCCCAACAAAACTGGCACAGCTGGGCAGGAACCGCAAGGCCAGAAGCCCCAGGAAATTCCAGTAACTGCAACTAAAGCGGACCAGACGACCGCCGACGGAGTCCCGATGACGCCAGGGACGGACTACCAACAGTATGCGCCTTCACCTCAAACTCAGCCACAGGAAGAGAAGAAGCACTATCTACCTCACATCCACAACCTAATACATCCCAACCAAAATGAAAACACTGGCCAGACAATGACAAACCAGGCTTCCCCAGCAGGAGCGGTAGCTCAGCAGCAAGTCAGAAGTACCAAGGGCAAGTACAGCCTGACGGATTTCGATCTCCGGCGAACTCTAGGTACCGGAAGTTTTGGCCGGGTTCATCTCGTGCAGTCAAAACATAATCAAAGGTACTATGCTGTTAAAGTATTGAAGAAGGCCCAGGTGGTCAAGATGAAGCAGGTTGAGCATACCAATGATGAGCGCTTGATGCTGCAGGAAGTCAAGCATCCATTTTTGATAACACTATGGGGAACATTCCAAGACTCCAAGAATATCTATATGGTCATGGACTTCGTCGAAGGTGGTGAACTGTTTTCGCTCCTCAGAAAGTCGCAGGCAAGTGAGCCCTTCTTTTTCACCATAACTTACTAACTCCCAAACAGAGGTTTCCCAACCCCGTGGCAAAGTTTTATGCTGCCGAAGTTACTCTCGCCCTGGAATACTTGCACTCAAAGGACATCATTTACCGAGACTTGAAGCCCGAAAACTTACTTCTGGATCGCCATGGACATCTCAAGATCACTGATTTTGGATTTGCGAAGAAAGTACCAGATATCACGTGGACTCTTTGTGGGACACCTGACTACCTGGCTCCAGAAGTGGTTTCCAGCAAAGGATACAACAAATCTGTCGACTGGTTAGTTTCCATTTTCACTCTTGTTTCTTTATCTAATTCAGTGTAGGTGGTCTCTTGGCATCCTGATTTTCGAAATGCTTTGCGGTTATACACCATTCTGGGATGGTGGCTCCCCTATGAAGATCTACGAGAATATTCTTAAGGGGAAAGTGAAGTATCCTCCGTACATCCAGCCACCTGCCCAGGATTTGTTGCAACAACTGATCACCGCTGATCTGACAAAACGGCTGGGAAATTTGCACGGCGGTGCTGAGGATGTGAAGAGACATGCATGGTTTGCCGAAGTCACATGGGACAGGCTCGCAAAGAAGGACATCGATGCACCATATGTCCCACCTGTCAAGGCTGGTGTTGGTGATGCCAGTCAGTTCGACAAGTACCCAGAGGAAACCGAGCAATACGGAGCTGTAGGACCGGATGAGTAGGTGCTCCCATCTTCACCACAAGATTTAATTGCTAACTGGTGTTTAGACATGGCCATTTATTCACAGACTTCTAAACTCTCAAAGCTCACCGATGCGGTAGAGGAGTACATTTATCCGATTAAAGAACATTTTTTATTCACGGCAAGGATAGATTCTTGATGCACACCAACTCGGTTTCCTCATGGTTGGGAATGCACGAAGCACATATGATGCAATGAATGGATGAATGAGACGTGAAGGGCATGTTGCATGTCGTGAAGCTGGGGGATGAACCATTATTACCGTTGCACAATAGCGTTATTACAGGCTATCATAACTTACACCAGGCTTGCGAATATTGCATGTCATTTTTGGGTAGTTAGACGGGCATTGGGAAGGTTGGTTTTGGGGTGTGGGCAGCAAACTTAGCATCAAATATGAAATGTGTTATCATTTGCATCTTGCTATACTTGGAAGGACGGAATCACAGCACGGATCGATCGGGCAGCAGACTTAGCATTAAATATGAAATGGGTTATCATTTGCATCTCTCCCTATGCCTCTATTCTCGTACGCTCGTAAATCATCGTGTCTACATTTCTCTTCCTGTGCGCTCTTGAATCATTGCTTCAACCATCTCGACGACTCTCTTGGAATTGTCATCAATCGAACCACCCTCCTCTCCTTCACCCAGTCCTCTCAAGGGGCCGAAAAGCCACAACTCCTTCATCTCCCGCGTAAGTGAGAGGAGGTCTTGAGCGGCGCGGATCTGGCGTATTTATTAGCTTCTCAATCTCAACTTGAATCAAATAACAGTAGACATACCAAAGCCTGCGTCTCGACATTCGTCTGGAAAGCTTGGGCAGCAGCAACTTCCGCAGTCACATCTCCCTTGTTCGTGGTAGCAAGCTCAATGATGTTCTTGAATCTGAGAAGCATGGCATCGACGATTCCTTGCTCGCGTTCCATAAGCTCGTTAGTACTTGGTCCCGTGCGTGCATCGACAGATGGAGGAAGAGACGCTGGAGGAGAAAGGGGTGACACGTGAGTGACATCGCCATCGTGTGTAATGGCAGCTTGGGAGGCTTCATTTGCAGTTTGGTCGGCCGACGCTGAGCGACTGCGACTGCGTCGATCGATTGACATGCTTGGTGTCCTTTCCATGATTTACTTGTTGTATTTATGAAAGAACTTGATGGAAAGAATACTCAGATGGCAGGCAATTGTACTTTTGATGATTTGCACTTGCAGAGGCAGAGTTGTTCAGACTGAGAATAAAGGAGACAGACGGCGAGATAGATGGGGAACGAAGTGAACTTTCCACTCACCCAACAAGGCGTCCGTGGTTCGCTGCGAAGTGGCCATGGCCACAATTGCTACATATGAGATGCACAACTACAACTTCTGTGCGCCTAATAACCGCGCAGTCGCTCCTTTGCGCGTTGACAATGTTTATACAGGTCGGATGTTCATGGGTGCTCCAAAGCGCATGTTGATATCTACGCGATAGAAATCTGCTGCATCTCCTCAGGTAGCACTGAACCCTGTCAGCTCGCGTATTACCCCTCCATCTAGCGCCGACCTCGAAACCGCCAGAGCGTCATCAATGTATCCCGAAGTTACAGTAGCTGCCACGTAAATCAATCAGAGAAAGAAAGAATTCACAATGCAGTCGGGAATTGCAGGTAACCAGATTCAATTCGGGGGTGCGTCGGGGGGAGCTTCCTGCTGATACCAAGGTGCTCTAGCCTCCGCCGAGCTCGTAGCAGCCTTCAACAACCTCGTGGCATCTCCCAGCCAGCGTGGACTACTGGTCAAAATCGACAAGGAGAAGCTCATTCCTGGACCCGCCATCGAGCCCTCCACTTCCGACTTCTTCAATGATCTAGAGCTTCTTGCTCCCCACGTCACGGACAAGGAAGCGGCATACATAATATTACGCCGCTACCCCGATGACAGCGACAGCTTCATCGCCGTGACTTACGTCCCCGATGCCGCGCCCGTGAGACAAAAGATGCTCTTTGCATCCACTCGCCTCACTTTAATTCGCGAATTAGGAATCGAAAGATTTAGGGAGACCATTTTCGCGACAACGAAGGCGGAGTTGACGGCGGATGGGTTCAGGAAGCACGATAAGCATGTTGAGTTAGAAGCGCCCTTGACGGAAGAGGAGCTGGCGCTGGGCGCAGTAAAGAGGGCAGAGTCTGAGGAGGGCAGAGGATCAAATGTTAAGAGAAGCCACATTAGTGACCACTTTGCAATGCCAATATCTGACGATGCTCTGGGCGCCTTGAAGAAGTTGGGGGACTCTGCGGGTGGAGATAACCTTGTCCAACTGGTACGACCAATCTACCGCCCACCCCCACCCTTTGTGTATAAATGGCAATGGAGGGAGCTAATATGCTTCTTAGAAAATCAATATTGCCTCCGAAACGATCGAGTTGGCGTCCACATCCTCCGCTACATTGCCGGAACTATCTACTGTCATCTCTTCCACCGAGCCCCGGTTCTCCTTCTTCAACCACAGCCATGATGTTCCCAATGGCTCTCCCTCAACCTCTATAATCTTCATATACACTTGTCCCGGCGCCAGCAAGATCAAGGAACGAATGCTTTACGCCAGTTCGCGACAGGGCGTTATCGCTGTCGCGGAGAAGGGAGCGGCCTTGAAGGTCGTCAAGAAGATTGAAGCAAGCGACCCAGATGAGCTTAGCCCGGAGAGTATCGAGGAGGAGTTCAAGCCGAAGGTGGAGACTAAGAAGGCATTTGATAGACCGAAGAGGCCGGGAAGGAGATGAGGTTCATAGGGAATGACCACGGGTTAGAATTTCTTGGAACATATACTTCACTTCATAGAGAAACTGTATGTTAACCATAGCACAACAGTTGTAGACCTAAGTAGTGACCACGAATCAAAAGTTGCTGTGGATGTTTATACCAAAGAATTTCATATTGGGATGCTTTTTGGTATTATGTCTTGAAATTACTCTTTCCTAGGAGCGATACTCCACTCATGGTGCCCAGAAATTGGAGAAATGCCTTGGGGAGCTGAGGAGGAATACTTGTAATTAAGATAAACCTTGTCTTTGGACCGATTTCTGGGCACATAACTCATTAAAAGACCGGAATATGATAGACTATTATAACCCTGGGCGATCGAGGGGCTCTATTCCCTCTACTATTGCTGTAAATACTCATATCAGCTCTAGAGCCTATCTGCAGGTTCTTACTTGTCCCTTTTCGGACATGAGAGGCACGAGCTCGAAATGCACTATGACGCAGCATTGTGATGATCACCAATGTCCCACAAGATTGTACCCAGCAAATTTGATATAAATGGATATAAATATTCGATACTATATAATCTACGCACAGCGTCTATATACAGAGAGGTCACCATAACGCTTTTAGCCGCTCGTATGAAAATGCCTTGCCTCCAACAATGCCCAACATGACCCGTCCATCATGGTAAAATACAGCTTATCTACTCCTCGTACTTACCGCCCACAAGCTCCGCGAGCGTCGTCCTGTTCTCCAGCTTCTCCTTCAGGAACTCGTACACTGTGAACGTAACGGCCTGGCCGGGAGCGACACGCATCACACGCGGCGTAATACCCTTGTAGAAAGCGTGCACACCCTCCGTCTTGAACATGTCCGCTGCGATGTATGTTATTCTGCTCCATGCGCTCTGGCCGGCCTTTGCGGGGGTCTTCTGGAGGCGCGTCTTAATGGTGTCGATGGGGGCGTTGGAGAGGGGTCCCATGGCACCAGAGACGAGACCAATGAGGGTTGTTTGGTAGGAGGGGAGCTGGGAGTCGGCGTAGGCGGGTTGCCATCTTTGGAGAGCAGATTTGAACTCGGTGTACGCAGTGAAGTTAACAGCCTGGTTGGTTCCTGCGTGACCGATTAGTATCTGAGTGGTGGCGCAATCCGAGAGTGGTGGGGTTGAGGTATTTGACATGTGAAAGTGATAACTTGGGGAAATAGCTATCACGTGCTTGTGATTTTGGAGGGGCGAGAATGGGGAAACCAAGCATTGCGACTCATACCTTGCCTCAGAGCTGTAAGCGAAATTCCACGGTATAACGCTCCAAAACCCTCCTCTTTGACCACAGTGTATAATGCGTGTGCGGCATTGCGGTATTTAGGGACATCGAGGGGATCGGCCATGGAGTGGTTTTGTGCTTGGAGACGGATCTTGATGACCTCCATGGGCGTCACAACTGCGACAGCCTCTGTGACACCAGCAGCGAGACCAGCTAGGATTAAATCGTCAGCGCTGAGACAACTTTTAGAGTTGCAGCCGCTTTTGCGCGGCTACACTCGGAATGCCAGAATCATACCAAAGAAGGTTGCTTTTGTGCTGACGGCACCAGTCTCCTTGTTTGCGAGCATGGACTTGTATGCCTCAAACGACGTGAAGCGAATGGCCATCTTGGGCATAATACCAGTTACCACTGCGCCAAGACCTTTGTAGAGACCGAGGGGGGTCTCGCGCTTCACGATTTCTGATCCCGTGGCGATGAAGCCTCTTGACTTCACCTATATAGTTTGTTAGAACGATGCCAGGTCTCTGGGGCTGCGCATCTCCACTTACGCCTGGGGCACGCGCGCGACGAGAAAGTTGCATGCGAACTTTGATAGTATCTAGATGACAATGTCAGAATCCTGGCCCATTGAAAATCGCCGAGGTGAACATACCGAGAGGATGGCAGATAAGCGCCTCCATCATTCCTGCACCACCGCCAGCTATGGAAAGTTAGAAGCCATTGGCGCAATAGATCTAAAACTGCGATTGGGACTCACCGATCAAGTTCGTCGCGGCGGAGGGCGGGGGCTTCCCATCACGGCCGTTGGTCTTTGGAGGCATATTTGCTACCGGCTTATGACTCTCTGCGTCACAAGACTAACTTCGTGGCAAGAGTTTCTTGTGAACTCAGTACCGGTGACGAGCGTAGTTGCTTTAGTTGAAATGGTCTGGAAACAGCTGCAGCAATGACCCTGTTAAAAGTATAAAGTAGTATATACAGCGCCGGTTTCTCAGCGAAGAGAGCAAAAATATATATTCGTGGGAAAGTTGGGGATGAGCAAGAAAGTCAAAAGATGAGGAGGAGTATTGGGGTAATATTCTCAGAGTACAGTCAGGTGCATTCGGGGACTCCTCTCCATACCAGTTCGAGCCTACTTTAGTACCCAAAACTAGATCAAAGAGAGTAAGGTGGAGGGATCTTCTCCATAACCCCAAGTTGCACCGCGGCTATGGGGGATTAATTGGAACAGCTCTGGGCGGCGGGAAAGGTACAAGCCGGTGAGAGAGGTGGATTTCATGGATGGCCGAACGGAAGCACCACAACACGCTCAACGGTCTATAGAGCCAAATGCTTCTTTAATTGTCATGAAGCTGCAAGTCTGATGTCCTTTCTCCTAATTTAAGGAACGAGTTTACTCTATTTACTCTATTGAACGGATCACAGTCCGAGACTTCAGTTGCGGCATGTTTTTGACAGTCGGCTGGCTGGCTTCGGCATTTCGACGCTCAGCCTCGCGAGCCTTGCGTGCGGTACCCACTAAAAGCGGAAATTCCTAGTTATCCTCGGTCGAAAGGTTCCGATGACGTCCGTGTGTTCTTGAATCTGCAAGCAATTGTTCCGCAGCGTGTTACGGAGTAGGTACCGTACTCAACAGCCATTTCCCCCATTGTCCTTCTGCGAGCCTATCTAATCCCCGCATTCCCGCAATATGGATAGTGTCTATTTGAGCTTTTGCTTGCACATGAACTGGGGTCGGACGAAGTCGGCTTGTGCATTTTGATGAAATAGTTTGAAGCAGGGCGATATCGGAAGTCATTTTTGGTACAGCTGTGCTTTGTTTTGTGCTGTACACTACTTCTCTCCACTCTCCATCCTCCATCCCGCCATCCCATCATCCCTCCTTAATCTGTCTTGAAATGGAAATGCCGAGGCACGATAAAAAAAAAAGTATCTGGTCACGTGCGGAACAATCGGCCACTCCTAGGCGGTGACGAATGGCAATAAGCATATGGTATTCGCCCAGCCTTGTCCAACTGATACCGCGTTCGCGTTTCTAGTCCCAAGCCGATGAGCAATAACTCTTCCTTCACATCCGTGTATTGGCAACGATGACTTCTGAGACCATGGTTCCCAAAGAATTGACCATCATAGTGGCTACCACTGCCCGAAACATGGGTATCGGCCGCGCCGGCGAGCTTCCCTGGACCGGCCTCAGGAAGGAGATGGCATATTTTGCACGTGTCACGAAGCGTACCCCATTGGCTGCTACCCCAAATCCAGAAGTAGCGTCGCGTCTCTCCAAAAACTATTTGGAGACTGCTGACCCATGTGCCTTAGCCCCCCAAGCCCGTGAGAAATGCAGTCATAATGGGTCGTAAGACCTGGGACAGCATCCCCCTCAAGTTTAGGCCGTTGAAGGGACGAGTGAATATCGTGCTCAGCCGCTCACATACGACTCCAAAACCGCTTCCGGAGATCGATACTGATGAGGAACCTTTACGAGCTGCATCATTATCAGATGCTTTGAAAGCACTTGAGGCCAGCAACGAGATTGGCAAGGTATTTGTGATTGGTGGGGCTGAAATTTACCGGATGGCGATACAAGAGCAGGCAACCAAGAGGATTCTGGTAACAAAGATCCTCTCCGATTTCGACTGCGACACGTTCTTCCCAATATCACTGCCGGGAGACGATGGCCAATGGACGAAGAAGGGCAAGGAGGAACTGGACGCTTGGGTCGGCGAGGATGTTGCCCCAGGAGAACAGGAAGAGAACGGCATTAAGTATGTCTTCGAGATGTATGAAAGAGAATGAATCCAAGTGTCACAAGCATGGGCAGACCATGTATTGTTCATTACGATCGCCACAAACTAAAAATGACACCCCTCTTCTCCAAATATCCGGCACCAACACCCCCAGATTCGAGGACTACAATGTTATTAACTGCTCCCAGCTACTGGCAAAATACCATAGGTAACTGCAGTATTTACTCGATTCTGTACAGGCAGATATTAGCTTTCACCACTTATATCACAGTGGGGACTATTTCTCATACCTCTCAATCAAGTGCAATCCAGACGCGGTCTCGACAACATGACTGATCTCACCAGGCTTCAGGTTGAACGCAGCATCCTCGAACTCCTTCTGCATATCACCCTTGCCGAAGTAGCCCAAATCTCCCATTTTGCGTGCGCTGCTGCAGTCGGACTCGCTCACAGCAAGGTTTCCCAGAGTAGTCTGTCCGCTTCGGATTCTCTGCTCATGGGCCAGGATGATGGTCATTGCCTCCTCCTTTGTGCGAGTAATATCGGCCTAACAATCAATATGTTAGCTAGTGCTGAGGGCCTCCATGATAATACCGTACCTCGCGCCAACTGCTTGGTCGCCTGCTATCCTTGTGCTTAACCAGTAGATGCGCCGCACGAATCTTGCCCTCATTTCCGTTGGCAGCAGAAGGCTCTGGCTTGATCTCTGATGCGCTGTGATTCCTAGCCATATAGTTCTTCAATTTGTCGGTATCGGTTCCCTGCGGTGGCTCCCATCGTGATACTTGCTGCGAGGCGTTGAAGTAGTATGGCAGGTTCTTGGAGGTCGAGTGCCTGACTTCCCACCCAGCTGGAAGACCTGCGTCACTCTGATTGATAGTTAGCTACCGATATACGGGGTGCTATAATAGAGTATGCTAGCTTCAATCGAGCTTCGTTACTGACCATTGTGAGGATTTGTAGAGCTGTTGTTGATTCAGTTGGAGCGTGATACAAGAAATAGCGGGGAAGTTTGACGTAAACCTCCTAAATTTCAAGTTTGAAGGGGCTGTTCTTGCGTTCGTGGCACCTGAAACAGGATATGATAGTGCAAAAAAGCTCGGAGAATATCGAGACCTGAGTTTTGTAACTTTTGGCGGAAGTATCCTGGTCTTACTGTTATTGTTTGGGTTATCGCATCGCACCTTTGCGGGGGAAGGGGCTAAGAAGAAGCCCGTGCACCATGCAACCCCATGTTGGATGACAAACGACTTTAGCGCGCGAAGGGTATGGAACGGAAGAGTATTGTTCCGTTTAAGTTTGCGCCTTGTCACTGGCGCGCGCATATGTTTGGCTGGCGATCTTGAAGCCTTCAAGCGTTCAAGCATTCAAAAGATTTTACTTGAAGCCCACAAACCGGCGGCGATTATAAGGGACAGCACTATTAAGATACCCCAGACCAGCGCGACCAAACCTTTAACTATCGATACATTTGCCGTCGCCGAACACTTATCAAAGCTCCGAGCGATATCCTGAACAGCTTCTATCGCCCCCCAAACCTGTCAAAAACAAGCAACGATGTCTTCACCTTCACCTAGCCATGGCGAGGAGCCAAGAAAGAACATGGAGCAGATTACATTCCGTTTCTGCAGTGAATGGCATGCATTTATGTATCTCTAATGCTATTAAATACTAACCTATGTATAGCTCGAATATGTTGTACCCAAAGGAAGACAACGACACACGCCAGCTACAGTTCGCCTGTCGCACCTGCCAGTACAGTGAACCGGCTATTTCATCCTGTGTTTTCCGGAATGTATTGAACAACGCTGTGGGTGAGACGGCTGGTGTCACACAGGATGTTGGATCGGACCCAACTGTTTGTGCTCCCTTCTCAATGAATAGCTTGGCCTTGCTAGAAATGTTCTGTTCTATTGAAAGTATGAGCGCTAACATTACTGTTTTTCAGCTTCCCCGATCAAACAAGGCCTGCCCCAAGTGCAAGGCCGAGGATGCTGTATTCTTCCAGTCGCAACAACGTTCGGCTGAAACAGGAATGGTATTGTTGTCTTCTTATCCTTTAGATCCACACTGACGATAGCCATATAGAAACTCTTCTATGTCTGCTGTGGTTGCGGTCACATCTTCCAGTAATAATCTACCCGGAGCGTTTTTACACTTGATATTGGAGTTGGGGATTTGGGCGGAAAACATGTCACAGGCGTTAGGGAAGATCGCATAGCTGGAGTTTCGATCATGCACATGAGTTATTGAGAGGCCGTAATAAAATGATTGGAGAACAATAGTTGTTGACCTCTTCGAGAGGTTTTAATGATTATCGCATGTGTAACGCCGTGACCCGTCTACCTCTTTATACAGTATGAGTACATTCTGATATAACCCCAATTTGTTCATAGATGCATTGGTGCCAGTGATAAGATCTTCGACCACTTCATCTTCTTCAATTCAGTGCCGACAATACCTGGGAAAGAAGTTAGTGGATGCCACTGCGAAGTTGCATTGAGGGGAGGCCTAACCGTTCAATCTGGTCCCAATGGGGTCTCCGGTCTTGCTGATCAGGACGCAGGCATTGTCGTCGAACTTCACTACACTTCCATCTGGCCTTTGCAGCTTCTTCTTTGTGCGCACGACAACGGCGTGTCTCATATCTCCACGGCGAACCTTGTTGGCGGCAGATGTCGATACGCTGCCACTGCCTGGACCCGACTCCGGACCGAAATTGCGCTGCTTTTGAACGACAACGATAATGCGATCGCCTGAAAGATGTCAGCTCCATGTGCTCCTGCACACTCATAGGGTGGTCATACCAATCTTCGCATGTCTCTTCATTCGGAGGACCTTGACACATTCGACGACGGCGGCGCCGGAATTATCGATGCAATTAAGCATCGTCTGCGAATAAAATTAGTCGCCATAAACACTAGACTCGGCAGTTTCAAGATATATTCACCTTTAATTGGATCATCTTGATTCAAAGGTTTGCTGTCGCAACATCTAGCTATGCTCTATTCGCATCGACATAAAGATTTGGCTCGGGTTTCGCGAATGCGGCTAGCGCCTCAATGCCTGATGTTGTAGGCTCGCAGCCCAGGCCAAGGCTGTAATGTGGCTGGTGATTGAGGCGCAAACTACTGGCAGTAAATTACGCGCCAGTCCAGCCGTCCAGTCTGGTGCTAGACCACTGCACGACAGGGAAGGGACGTGCAGGGAGGTACCAAGGGAACTCTCCACTGGAGTGAGATCGGGGAATGCGAAAGGAGATGTGCGGCGACGCGCGCCAGGACACCGTTATTAGACTCGAGTCTCAGTCACACCTTTCGAATACAAAGACCAACCTACACACTACTCTGGACTATTTCTTGCGATCCTCCACGACCTCATAAACTTGGATTGCTTTGTTCGAGCCTCTTCGCGCATTCTCAGCCGCGCCGTGCCGTCGAAACTGTAAATTACTCCCGGATTCGAATTGAGGCCATTCGATTCGGGAAGGGCTGTCGCATGAACCAAAAACCACATACGTGTTGCGATGCCGCCAAAATGTCCCTCGGAGAAAAAACACCGTCTAACGCTTGCGCGATTGACATCTTACGACGATATCCTCACGGACGCTTTAGTTGACCATGTAAGATCCCACCAAGTCCAAGATGTGCTTCGCTAACAGTTGTGAAAAAGGTATACTACTGGACGACTATTCGCAAGAATCGCAATTTATACCATGCCTCACGAGGTGTTCGAGAGGAGGATATTACCCCTATTTTGCAAAACATGGTCATAATTGGCAAGGACGCGGAGAAAGCAGAAGCGCAACTCCTTCAACTTCCAGGACTTCGAAAGTTTCTGGAAAGTTTACCTCCTGGAAAAGAAAGGGACGACTTCCGAAAGCACATGCGGAGATATGTCAACATATATTTACCGGACTGCCCGTTTGAAATCACAAGCACCAACCGATACACTGTGGTGACCCATGAGGCTTCCGTGACGGCCCGGAGGTTGATTAAAAAGGGCGAAACAGTGAAATACCTCTGCGGAGTCCAAGTCATAATGACTAAAGAAGAGGAAGCCGACATCAACCAGCGTAGGCGCGACTTCAGCATCGTTGTTTCAAGCCGCAACAAATCTGCTTCATTATTCTTGGGCCCAGCACGATTTGCGAACCACGATTGCGGTGCCAATGCTGAGCTTATGAGAACGGGAGCCGCAGGAATGGAAATCATCGCTGTAAGGGATATTGAGGTGGGGGATGAGATTACGGTTACTTACGGAGACAATTATTTTGGCGAAGATAACTGTGAGTGTCTCTGCAAGACCTGCGAAGACAACCGGGAGAACGGTTGGGAGTTGGAAGACGACGATGGTTCAAGCACCCCAGCTACAAAGCCTTCTATTGAGGAGCCCACGGTAGTCATTGGTAGCTATTCACTACGTCGAAGGAGATCCGACTTTGTGGACTCCTCCCGGACTCCGTCGGTAACTCCTGACCTCAGGCCTCGTGTTCTCAAGGGAACACCAAAGAGATCGAATAAAATCGCGAAGGAACCGACATCACCAGAACTTTCGCCCAGTCAGCAACTTATGGAGTCTAACAAGAAGCGAGAATGGCGAGATGAAGCGCCGACGGCCGAACAACACACGGCACGGAAACGGCAACGCACTGAAGGAATCGTCAAAGAGGAAAGCATTCATGCTAGGGATTTAGACGGTCTGTACTCCACACCCGAGAGCTCTAGGGCTAGTTCGGTTTTTGAATCAAGGCATGATTCAACACAGATGCTGCCCTCCCATGACAGCAACCTGACGGATACAACGTCGGTGGATGAAGATACGATTATAGTTCGGCCGATTCGCAAAAAGAGCCATTCACGCCTTCGCAAAGATGTTCGTGAGCAATCTAGCCCTGCCGCTGTGGAAGCGGACAACCCCGTCTCAGATGCAGCGATAGCAATGGCTGAATTTGCTGGCGAGATTGGCGCCGCTGTGGCCTCGATTACAACACTGGGCGCGACGGACTCGGACGCTTTGGAACCAAAATCTTCGCGCAAGTTAAAACGACCGTCAACGAAGCTGTTAACTAAGACGCTTGCAAGCACGACCAAAAAGAGGAAATATGTCAAGAAAAGGGCACCTGTTGTCACAGACAAGGACCACGCACCAGAAATTAGGAAGCCGCGAGATTATGTCTTGACGCCGCTACTACTGTCGCAGCCAGCTTCAGCCTGGATTTCGTGCAAGATTTGCGATGAATATTTCGTCCAACTGGACGCTTACTTAACCCGCTCATCGTGCCCAAGGTGTGAGCGTCACAGCAAGCTCTATGGATATCAGTGGCCGAAGACGGATAAGGAAGGGCGAAATGACTCGGAAGAAAGGATTTTAGACCATCGCACTATCCACAGGTTTATCAGGCCTGACGAAGAGAGATCTATCAGAAAACGAGAAAGAAGCCGCGGCTCCACAGGTAGCCCAGTTGTTTCTAATATTTCTGTCGAGACCACGGCGGATACGCAAGAGCGCCCGAGACCGCAAAGGCTGAGGAGGAAACCGGGTCGGCTCACTTTATAAACGCAAACAACGAATTGCTATGCTATATAATTGATTAAAAAATGCAAAATTATTCCCAATTACCAATTTAACAATTTAATCATTGCCACTAGTGATCCTTTGTAGTAATGAAGCCATACGCTAATCTCGTACCTGAAAATCTGTCAGCCTTGTAGGTGGGCAAGATTGTGGGGATTGGTGGGTCACAAGTTGGGGGTGCAGTTCCCCTGCAGGGTACCTTGATTGTGCCACAGCCTTGCGCTTCAGGTTCCACGTCCAAACGAAATCAGTGGGCTGGGAGGTTCCAAAGCGAGCTCAAATTAATAACATTGTCGCCACAAGCAAATACGCCTATCTAATTCCATGTATGTAGCCCTTCCGAATCGTCCGTTGGCTTCCAATTAACCATTTAGACCCCGAACGAATCCAAGAACTACTCGAATAACGCACTTAACACCTATATGCCCTCGACCCAACCCACTGAGCTCGCCGCGCCAAACAACTCACTCATCCAATCACACTGAGAGTTTTCTCTGTTCTGGAGGATAGCGCATAATGCCGGACATCGAGATTACCGGCGACAATACGTTGACTGAGAATGGCGGAAGTGCAGACGTCGAGATGGGCGGGGACGATGTAGTGGAGGTCGCAACAACCACGGATGGAGGAGACAGGAACGACGACGGAGAAAAAGACCAGGAAATTGCGGAAGAAGAAGAGGCACCAGTCATCCCGGTGCGAATCACATATGTGGACCATCTGAAAAGCCCTATCGTAGAGCTCGTTGTTGGACAAGGTGACTCTGAAATCATCCTCAGTTCCCATCAAGCGCTGTTGGTGCAAAGCCCCTTCTTTGAGGACGCTTGCGCTCATTTCGATGCTGATACACCGGTATGATATAACTAATTTCCAGGTAACTAGAATCACCCACTCACAACTATGCTAGAGGAGGTCAATCGACCTGTCAGAGGAGGACCTCGATGCAGTCGGCTGCTTCTTGGAGTACCTTTATACTGGCGAATACTTCCCTCAGAGAGTCACCGGACAGCGCGGATTAGTCAAAGACCCCACGATGCCAGAATTGGACGAGTCGGGCGAGCAACTGCTGAAGCATGCAAGGGTCTATACCCTGGCTGGCAAGTTTGGCGTTGACGCACTGAAGGCACTCGCACTTTCAAAGAGTAAGCTAACACGTATCACTATATTCTTGAGCGATGGTATCTAACATATAACACAGTTCACTGCGTTAATTCCAACGCAAAGGGCGAGATTCAATACGCTCGCTACGTTTACGCAAATACCGCCGAAGATGATACCACAATCCGCAGGCCCGTTGCGTCGTTCTGGGCGCATAGATCCCATGTCCTGCGCGCTGAAGCGGAAGATGAATTCAGGAAGATGTGTTTGGAATTCCCTCAGTTTGGTTTCGATGTGCTGAGTTAGTTTTATCAAGCATTGTTTCATATAATTTTAGTTTCTCATGCTGATGATTGTAATAGCCCGCGTCTTGGACGAGAAGCTCAAGAACGAGACCCGCGAGAAACCGCACAGTACCCCAAGCGGCAGCTCTCGCAAGCGCCAAAGGCATATCCAGATCTAGGTTTGGTCTGTGATGTAACTATAAGAGGGGTAAATAATTGCTTGGCAACATCGCAATGTTTTGATACGATATGGTGTCGCACGGTTGCTTAGGACTTAAGGTCTTGGGCAAAATCAGGAAACTGCATTTGTATTATAAAGTTCTCGAGTATGCGAGGTTAATGTTTCCATAGCTGAGCATAGGACTATAAATAATAGCTTCCGCTTCAGCGCACTATTTGCTTGGTTGATCGTTATCAAAGAGGCGGGTATGGCGTCAATCTCTCTATAAACCTCCAAACCGAGGACTTGAACCACCTCATTGGATCACTGTACATTTAATTGAACTTTTCTCTCCGTATCCAGAGTTACGCACAAACTCGAATATAAGCCGGAAACATAAATTGCTCACAATAAATTATGAAACACACTAGGATCGCGAGGCTGTGTGTGACATCAATAGGTTGCTGAGGCAACCAGTTGTTGATGGCAAACAAGCCAACCACACCCTGGGTCGCCTACAATACAACCTCACCTCGCAGAATCCAAAGCGCACGATACACTCACCCTTCGCATCCACAGTCGGCATACGTATGAGGAACATTTGATATACCGGACCAATCTTTCATGTTCTGTGGTTTACTACTCTGAAAACAATACGGTCTTTTTGTCTCAAACAATTCCAAGACATACTCGAGGTCTTAGTCCACGCACCATCTCGCCGTCTTCACCTTGTTGTCCTCACTCTTCGCATGCTGCAGACTCCTGCATACAACAACCCCAAAGCATTGCTTGCTTGAAACAATACAAATATACCCTCGTGGCCTCTAGCTCGAGATTGAATGAAGCAACAATGACATCGCAACCAGTATGTAAACATTGAGTCCACCAAGCTTACAACTGTTGACAATGTTACGCAGGTACATCCGCTCAGGATTCAAAAGAGCACACCAAACACATCTCCTGTCAAGATGGGGAGCTCAATTCCTCGCGCTTTAACTGAATTGGCACCTACTGAGAGGAGGCAAAACTCCCCAAGCTACAACCAAGGCTCTCCAAAAGTAAGAAACCCCAACATGCACATCCCAGCGCCCTTACACATACTGACAGCAAGGAAACAGAAAATGGCTATCAATATGGATTCGTCTCCATTCCAATCTTCCCCCTTCAATACGTCAGAGGGGAACTCGTCGCCACGACTATTCTGGCAAGGTCGTGACCCAGCGACTCCCAGTAATCGATTCAACTCGGAGAATGGCATATTTGGAAAGAGGGAAATGTCGCCATCGCCAACGAGGCGATCGTCGATTGAGAGACTCCAACGTGCCTCGCGAGTCAAGAACAGCAACATGTTTGCTCGTGAGCAGAAGCAAGAATATGACCCAACATCAATTCCAAACATTGAGCGACCACTTGCGAAGCAAATCCAAGGAAACGCATATGGCGGCCAGGGATTAGATGGATTGCGCTCTGAGGAGCGAGGACGTGCATTCGGACATGGCCGAGCCCCAAGCAAAGACATTGTCTCGCCATACTCGCCGACGAAGCTTCCACTTACATCAACTGTGGTACGAGAATCGCCGACAAAAGAGCAAACTTCACCAATGAAGTCATCGCTTGCGACTACCCGCTTTGGCTCAAAATTGCCATATGATGAAGACAAAATCAGCTCGCCAGAATACTCAGGCGGCGAACACGAGCTTCCAGAAGGCCGCAGCCTACACCGTCATGCGAAGAGCGTTACCTTTGATGCAGCACCTCAAATTAACGAGTACGAAATGGTAACTCCGGATCTATCCTCTGTCGGAACCAATTCCAGAGAGAACAGCTACGACTCAGCCGAGGATGACGACGAAGAGAGTTACAATAGATCTGGCTCGTTGGAGCTAGATGACAGCTTCGACGCATCACTCGAAGATACGGATAAAACTCCAGTTGTCGGACCGGATGACTGGCGCTTTTCCAACAACGGAGGCAGCTCGGACCCATTTGGTGCCCAGCTGGAACCTTCGAGCCCTCTCACTGGGTCTGAAATATCATCCCCTACAGTGACCAGGAATATTAGCGCAGATCATCGCCCACTACCACCACTTCCAGGTACCTCAGAGAAGAGGAATTCGGGACTCTTTGCGGCGGCTGAACGAGCTAGCAATGTCACAAGAGGCACTGCGGTTCCGGCAGCTTCCTTCAGCAAGACCGATATCCAAGGTTTAACCGGAGGGCGCATGCCGCTTGAAGAACGTCTTCGTCTGATGATGATCCAGGATGACGACAAAGCTAAGCCAGTGGCAGAGACTCAACGAGAGCGTCGAATGAGACGTGGCGGTGCGCGTGACCGATGCAGCGCAACGCCAGAAGTGGATGATGGCGAAATCAAAATTCACGAAGATGAAGATACTCTTGCGGATCTAGGCGAATATCAGCTCCCAGAGCGAGTCTCCAGGGAGTCTATTCTGCGCAAGGTCAACGGCCACGATGCGTTTACACTGGACTCAGAGTACAACTTTTCCTCTCCACCGCCAAGTTCTCGACAGGAGCGCACAACTGTACCAGACCCTGATGTGGCTATTCCATCCACCGAGGATGTCACGATCGCCGATGATGACAGCAGCGTGATTATTAAGCCTGAAGAAGAAGATTCGGAGATTGATGTCTACGACATTCCCGAGATGTATCAGGGACGCCCCGAATCTCGAGTAGAAGACTATGACATTAACAATTCTGTCGTCCGCGATGACTCTGTCGTTCGCGAGGGTGAAGATCTGGAGAGCCAATATTCAGACGAGACTCCACAAAACAAAAGCCCGGAGCTTGAGTCCAACAACGTGCCGGAAGATGAGGGACCACCAACCCCCCGCTTAACCGCGCCAACATCAGACATCCCTTCAGTTGACACTGAAAACATGGAGGACCAAGCCTCTTTGCCAGCGCTGCCTGGGTTCTTGGACACCAACAATTTCGGGCTGAGTCTTCAATCATACATAACACCTACTCCCCCACCTCCCCCGCCAAAGGATGAAACGAGCATCACATCGGACGCTGTCATTGAGCCTCTTGACGTTGAACGTACCTCTACACCACCAGGTACCCCCGCAAAATATGCTCTTCCCAAGCCCGATTATGACGGCGCTGGCTGGGGTTCAGAGAGTGAGGAAGAAGTTGGCACTCCTGAATCAGTTGTGCATCATGCGGTGTCTTATGAGGAATCTCCTCCCGCAGAGTCGCCAGTTGTCCCAGAGCAAACCGCAACTATCAAATCATCATCTGGTTCAAAGCTCAAGACCCGACCTTCCGCTACTCCGTCAGATATTATGGCCATGAGGGAAGCTAGGCGCCAAATCAGCACCGAGTACCCAATCCCACCCATCCCACAGCGACACCGCAACCGCCCTTCTCAGAGCATGGAGCGCGATTTAGAAGATCCGGAAGCTGTCTCTGAGAACGAGGGAATGAAGCGAATCCCAAGCCTCAAACGGGATGGCCTTACGCTGGACATCGGAAGCGATCTTGGCCTTAGTCTCGACCAGGACTTCGATCGACTGATTGAAGCTCAAAAGGTTGCGTTTAACCTTTCTCATTACCACCTAATTGACTCCCAAGGTTACCATGGACAAGTGTCTACGTTACAAGCCGGTGCTCTAAAATTCGAAGAAATGCATGCTAACATTACTCCTCGGAAACAGCGCGGATACCTTATGCGTCAAAACACGAAGGTTGTAGTTGCGAGCAGTGGTACTGACGTTGAAGCTCAAAATTTCCGTGACACTCGGTCTGCAGGCAATTCTCCCGTAAAACAACCCCGCCCACAATCATGGACGGTGGAGCCTTGGAATGGCTCGCCGAGGAAGAGAAGCACGAGAGACAGCACTGGTGGCAGGAAAAGGATGCCATCAGGACCAGCACCTCCTTTACCTGGGCAACAGAGCAATGTCGCTGGCACTGGTTTGGGAATGGTTGCAGAAGATGCTCAGGTCGATATCAACGAGCCCGACAATGGCGAGAGAGGCCGACTGTTCGTCAAGGTTATCGGTGTTAAGGATCTCGGCCTTCCATTGCCAAAAAGTCAGTATAAACCCTCTCCTCTCTATGTAGTTGCTAACCTCCTTTGAAGATGAGCGCACCTGGTTTGCCCTCACTTTGGACAATGGGGTTCACTGTGTCACGACAGCATGGCTTGAACTTGGAAAGAATGCCCCTATCGGCCAAGAGTTTGAACTAGTCGTCCCCAACGAACTCGAATTCCAACTCACCCTGAATGCTAAGCTTCAAAAGCCGCCGCCACAGCGCGTTGTTGAATCGCCAACAAAAGCGAAGGCCCCAAAGCCATCTACATTCTCCCGCGTTTTTACTTCGCCGAAGAAGCGCAAGGAGCTTGAGATGAGGCAAAAGGAAGAACAGCAACGTGCTGCGGATAAGCAACAGAGCGAGATGGCTGCTAAGCGCATGTCTCAGCAACCTACCGCGTGGGATCTACTCTCCCCTCTTGCCGCAGATGATGGAAGCTTCGGTCGATCATACGTCTGCTTGAAGGATCATGAGCAACACTGCTTTGGAAGGCCATACGTCGTTGATGTTAACTGCTTCAACGAGTGGGCGACCGAGGAAGTTGGTGGCATGAGCAGCGTCAAGAGCAAGACGGGAGCTACTCAAACCCGCCGCCGGGCACCTTACAAGGTTGGAAAGCTTGAGCTGCAGCTTCTATTTGTCCCGAAGCCCAAGGGTGCTAGCGACGATGATATCCCCAAGAGCATGAACTCCTGCATTCGCGCAATGAAGGAGGCTGAGGAAGCAGTGGCTAGATGCCACAGTGGCTACTTGAGCCAACAGGGTGGAGACTGTCCTGTAAGTCACCAAATGAAAGATATTAATTTCATTATGCTAATATGTTCTAGTACTGGCGTCGTCGCATGTTCAAGCTCAATGGTAGCAAGTTGACGGCTTACCACGAATCGACTGGCCAACCTCGTGCAACGATCAACCTCGCCAATGCGTCTAAGCTTATCGATGACCGCAGGGCATTGACGCAGAAGGAAACCACAGGCAGAGGAGGTAGCCGCCGCAAGTCCGGCTTCGCCGAAGAGGAGGAGGGTTACATGTTCGTTGAGGAGGGCTTCCGCATCCGCTTCGGTAACGGCGAGGTCATTGACTTCTACGCCGACACCGCCAAAGACAAGGAAGGGTGGATGAAGGTCCTCGATCAATGCATTGGCACGAGCAGCGAGGCCAAAAATGGCGTCAGCTGGTGCGACATGGTGCTCAAGAGAGAGGACAGCCTGAAGCGCAAGGAGATCCGCAAAGCTTCTGGGGAGAAGCCACCGCGCTTTCACGCGAGGACGAAGAGCATGATCATCTAAGGTAAGTTGCGCATGAAGAGAGATGCGGCAACGCGAACGACTTATGATGAATCGGAAATGATACGATGACTGGGTTTACTTTCGTTTCTTTCCCACGGGATTTAATTCCTCATTCAAAAAATAGGCCGGCCTGTCGGATGACGTGGTTGATAAAGTAGGGTTGTATGGGATTTGTACTGGTTTGATGGTTTGTTTGGGTATTTGCGTTTATGGGGGTCTCTCGGCGAATGCATTGCTATTGGGTCATTTTCATTGTCGAGTTGACCATTAGACACCGTTTTAGCGGCCACTTGAGCATAGTAATATTACAAAATTCAAATACTCCATGGCTTGTATGACACGTGCACTTGGGTTGGCAGGCAGTGGGAAGCCGCCAGGTGGGTAATGTAGTTCATTCATTCAGACTTTGTTCTGCACAACAGAATCAGCCGCTTCAATGGTGTTTATTTTCAGTGGCATGAAGGCGCTCTTATCAACCTTCAGCCAACCATCGACCTCTAATTCGGGTACATTCGCGACGCAGAAGTCAATCACTGCTGTAGCAGAAGGAGCACCATCGAATATCCCGATAAAACCCGCACGTGGAACACCAAGGGCACTGCAGAGACGCTTTTCACTGCTCCTTGGAAGGGTGACGAACCGGGTCGGCGGGAGATTGTGGTGGAGCAAGGAGCTTGTCTGAACAAGCTTGTGGAGATGAGAGGTGAGGATAGTAGGTACGGAGGGCCAAGTCGTGACGACTACGGCGAGATGTCGTTGTGAGTTTGCTGGCCCGTCATAACTGGGTATTGGCACACCAAGTGATGGTGGACAGGCTTTCCGAGATTGAGACTCGAGGTGCCGGGTAATGCTATTGAGACCGACGAGGATATGCGAGATTAGCTCGGGGGGTGGCACTGAGGCTTCGTCTTGGGCTGGTTTGGCCGCACCACCTTTGAGTTCCCGGCGCTTGGCCTTCTTGCTGCGTTTTCCTTTTGAGGGGGTAATGTGGGTGGTGTGGTAGTGGCCGATAGGCGAGAGGAAGCTGAGGGACATTAATATAGTTCATATGTACTTTAGAGCGTATACAACATAAATGAGATGACAGAAGAGAACTCGCACACCTACCTGGTAAGAAGATTAAGGATAGTATCCTGATCAGCCGGGCTTAGTTGAGGCCTGAGTAGATGTCAGCTACCCAGTTCGAAAGCATTCACGTGAAGGTTGAAAGAAAAGATTGCCATACAGTGCAACATCTGAATAAGGGCTATCCAGCTCAAACATCGTCTTTGCTTTTGGAGGCATATTGCACGTACGGCAGCTTAGCTGCAAGCGCTTGTTGATGGTGTCTGACCTGGGCGGCTTGATTCAGGGACATTGGGTCCCCGAATGTACGACGTTAATACCAGAGATCGAAGCTCCAAGCCTGAGGCTCTATGGAACTCTGTTTCCCAGCAGTATTCGTAACTTACAGAGGTGTTGGAGCGCTGCTTATACTGCTTATACTGCTTGTACTTTGCCCAGGACCATAATTTATATAGATTAGAAACTCTAGTATAACTCTAGTACTATAATATCATAGCGCAGCCTTGTGCAAACCCTGTCGTCAGTCCCTTGACTTCGGAAAGGCTAACACGGTACAAGTGGGCTGTTTCTGGTATCGCGTCAAGTGCGGGGCCTCCTCACAATCGCTAATCTTTTCTGACGCATAATGAGGGGTTGTGCGATAAGCTAAATTTTTCTTTTCTCAGATACCCTGAGTCTTTATTTATTATCGCCGCTCACAACGGCACTGAAGATATCTTGTAGCCATAATTTTAAATTAAAGCTCCTTCTTCATTTCACATCATGTCAAACACAACAGAAGAAGTACCCGAGGTGGTTCCTCACAAGTCCTTCGACACCATCCTAACCTTGGACTTCGGTTCCCAATAGTATGTACGCGTGCCCACCCGGGTCCAATTTCTGAAGTCCTATGTCTTCGATTTGGTGACTGACTTTCCCCCTTAGTACTCACTTGATTACCCGCCGCCTGAGAGATCTCCATGTCTACTCTGAGATGCTCCCGTGCACCCAGAAACTGGCCGACCTTGACTGGAAGCCAGCCGGTATTATCCTGTCTGGTGGACCCTCCAGCGTATACGAAGAGGGTGCGCCCCATGTCGACCCAGCATACTTCGATCTGAACGTCCCGATTCTCGGAATATGCTACGGTCTCCAGGAGATTGCTTACCGCAGCGGCAAGGACAACGTCGTTGCAGGCGTCACAAGAGAGTTCGGCCATGCCGATCTCAAGGCCAGGAAGGTCGATGGTCACGTTGACCGCCTGTTCGATGGACTCGAGAACGAGTTCAAGGTGTGGATGTCTCACGGCGACAAGCTCGCCAAGCTCCCAGAGGGCTTCCACACCATCGCCACTACCCCCAACTCCGAATACGCTGCCATCTGCCACGAGAGCAAGCACATCTACGGCCTCCAGCTACACCCAGAGGTTACACACACCGAGAACGGCACGAAGATCCTCGAGAACTTCGCTGTTAAGATTTGCGGCGCAAAGCAGAATTGGACAATGGCCAACTTCGTTGACCAAGAAATCATCCGCATCCGTAAATTTGTTGGAGATGGCCAGGTCCTTGGCGCCGTCAGCGGTGGTGTTGACTCTACTGTGGCGGCTAAGCTTATGCAGCGCGCAATTGGCGACCGCTTCCACGCTGTTCTCGTTGACAACGGTGTTATGCGCCTCAACGAGTGCGAGCAGGTCAAGACTATGCTTTCGGAGCATATGGGAATCAACTTGACTGTGGCAGATGCTTCAAAGGAATTCCTTGACGGCCTAAAGGGCGTCACCGACCCGGAGAAGAAGCGCAAGTTCATTGGAGGGAAATTTATCGAAGTCTTCGAGGAGGAGGCCAAGAAGATTGAGGCTGCGGCCGCAAAGACTGACAGGGCTGGACCAGTCGAGTTCTTCTTGCAAGGAACTCTATACCCTGATGTTATTGAGAGGTTAGTATCCCAACGAGTTTACTTTTTAGCCTTCATGGAGATTCCATATCTAGATTTGTCGAGTCCTATGAGATGACCTCATTGAGATAATTACTAACATTGAACTTATAGCATCTCCTTCAAGGGCCCCAGTGCCACTATCAAAACCCATCACAACCTTGCACTTCCTCAGCGCATGCTCGACGGTCAGGGGCTGAAGCTTATTGAGCCTCTGAGAGAGCTCTTCAAGGACGAGGTCCGTGATCTTGGAAGGCAACTTGGCATTCCCCACGACCTTGTTATGAGACACCCCTTCCCAGGTCCCGGTCTTGCTATTCGGTAATATGATCCTCCATGCCACCTTATTTTCAACCGCTAACCAGACACGAACAGCATTCTGGGTGAGGTGACACCTGAGCGTGTCGAGATGGTGCGCCAAGCCGACCATATCTTCATTGGCATGATCCGTGAATGGGGTCTGTACGACAAAATCTCCCAGGCATTTGCTGCTTTGGACACCAGCAAGGCCGTTGGCGTGATGGTGAGCACTTGATTCCATAAACGTGTGGATCACACTTCAGAGGCTAATTCATAATTTCAGGGCGACCAGCGTGCTTACGAGCATCTTATTATCCTACGCGCTGTCGAGACCACAGACTGTAAGTGCTTTCTCGATTCCTTGGAGAATTTCAGCTCGATCATGGAGAAAAAAATTTCTAACTTTGATTTAGTCATGACTGCCAAGGCATTCCCATTCAGCCACGACTTCCTCAACCAGGTCTCAACCAAGATTGTCAACAACGTCAAGGTAAAATACTCCCATTTCCAACTCACCGAATTGCTCTTCCGTATCCATATATGTGCACGGTATTAACTGTATTTTAGGGAGTATGCCGCGTTATGCTTGACATCACAAGCAAGCCTCCAGCAACCATCGAGCTGGAATAGTTAACCACTTGGACAGTATTAGAGGCGGGTTTATGGAATGGAGTATGGCTGAAAAATAGATCAAGTAAAAAAAATTAATGAACAGATGACATTGCAAAATCTTGGATGCTCTGCAGGTGAATTAAATATGAGTATGCTCATATATCCCAGGCTATATTTATTTCATTATAGAAGTCAACATATCATAATTCCCATAATTTTTAATGTAAAAAATTGTGCTGAGACGAAAGAAAGCCATGGACAGATGAAATGAAGGACTGCAATAAATATAGAGGTCTATAGAAGCCCAAAGAATATAAATCAGCCCATACACAGAACAAATCGTCGCTCATGAGATTTAAGAGTTGATATTTGCGACGTACGAGGTTGTGTTGTAGTCGTACTGTAACGGTACATCCAAGCACTCTAAATTATACGTGGGGTGGTTGTACCTTTTGTGGACTGGGTAGCTCGCGATTGATCACCATCCGACACGCTTGTGAGCTCGTCTACCTTATCGACAAGTGCCTGCACCACCTACAGCTATTTCCAGACAGCTAAGGCGGGGCTCTCTATTCACCACCTTCTATCTAATATTCGTTTGCACCACGACCACGCCGCCCAAAAGCTTGTTATTACCATCGTTGCCTATCCACAACCCCTCCATATGGCGATTCTACACAGCACCACATCCGAAGCAGGTCTGTGATTTCAAAGTCACTGTGCCTAATCACACTGTACCAGAGCACCTTGGCCTTACCTACAATCAGTGCTCTGGTTCGGCCAGATGGACCTCGAAGCGATCGAAGTGTCGCGAGAACGTGCGGTATCGTCCGAGCCGTGTTCAACTCGACCTAAACCTTTCGACGATTCCGAATACTCCGCAAGAAAGAGGCAGCGTGTCTCGAGCGGATCACGAAGCAGATCAGCGGATACTGGCAAGGCTTCATCGACCTATGTTACGACTCCCAGGGAACACAGCCCATCGATAGAGGCTAGGCTCACTCAACCACAGACGCCCTCTCGAACTCACTCGAATAAAGCCATACCAGAACCTACATCCAGCAAGGTTACAATCAACCTAAGGTCGAACAAAGCAATCGACCTGACATCGTCTCCTTCCTTCTCCCCCACCACGCCGTCCAAAATGTCGGGCACAGATCAAATCCCACAACTGGACATAGAAGTGGATTCAGATGGAGTTGATGCCCCTCCAGAAACTATTTCCTCTTCTTCTTCAACGTTGGGAAGCCCAAAGGTGGAGCTCATTATGGAGGACGAGGATATCGAATATGGACAGAGCCCACCTGTGGCCGTTATCGACGACGACGACGAACTTCTTTTTGACTGCGACCCCGTCCTGGACTTCCCATACGCATCTGGAAATGAGCCAGTGATGGTAACCGTCCGCAAAATTGCACACTTCTTCGAACATGGTAGGCAGCCTTTCATATATTGTGAGGTAGATGCTGACACGTCCACAGACGCCGTGGATGGCGACGACATGTTCTGCAGATTAAGAGACTGGATAGCTAGCTATCTCCAGCTTACGAAGGACTCCGATGTCTCTTGGTTTGAGTCCTACGAGAAACACCCAGAGTTCTGGAATAAGTTTCCTGACATCGTCACGGCTCTTAGCCGACGAAGGTAAGTTTCTAAGCCTTCTAAAGCCGAACTTTACTAATTTGCCGCAGAAGTTTTTTCGGGAGCTTCCTACAGAAGAGTCGCGATAGTCGGCTCGCTCTATCGGAGTTTTTCATGCAATATGCGGAACTTACGGCTCGCTTTGTGTCGATGGATATTAGAACTCTTGCCAAGTACGAAGAGCTTGACGATCAGACCTCCCAACCAATGCTGGTTTCCAGACCATATCTCACGGCATTTGGATGGCTACTTCAGAAAAGGGACTTCAACATTGGCCACAACTTGGAACAACACTACCGCTTCGACTGGGGTGATGAAGTGAGCAGCATGGTGAGGCATTTCATCGATGGCGTCGGCAGTATACCTGCACTCACTCGGTTTGTTCGAGGGCACTTGGCGTTAATATCCAAATATCCCAAAGGAGTCGAAGATTTGACCGAACCATCACGCATCGTTGACCTGGCCATCTCCTCCAGTTTATCATATTACAACAATCCCGGCCCCGCCTACCGGTCCCCAATGGAGAATAGCGAGCTACTTATCAATCAAGGATACCAATTCTTCAAAGTCCTTGCGCCAGCCCTTGATACCATTATCGAGAAGCATGCGACAATGCTGACAGCCGAGGCCGCTCTCGTACACATTATTGGACTCTCTCGGATTTATCTCGCAGCCTTAAACTCGGAGAACTCTCCCGTTGAAGAATCCATCCGCGATCAATTACAGTCGCATCCTACCATGCCGCCGAAGTACAGTGGCATAGTCATATCTGCCGAGTGGAAGTTCTCCATGCTCAAGAAGATTATTGTGTGTGGCCAGATGCAGTTGCGCGTATGTGGAGTGACGACTATGTGCACAGAACTTCTGAGCCTCTACACGAAGCATAAAAGGGAGGATTCATCTCGCCAACCAATCCTCATTCATTTCGCCGAATATATTATGGCAAATAAGCTCGTCGACTACATAGTTGGAACTGGTTCCCACCCTGAGATCATTAGCGAAAGTGGCAATATTGTCGGTTTCCTCATGGCAACGAAGTCTTACACAAACAAGGAAACAGATACCATTTGGCAAACAGTCACCACAAGTCAAGATCCACGAGTGGTAGAAGCAGTCCTCCGAATGCTTGCCACTGTACTCAATCTGCTTGACTACGACAAGTTGCTCTATCTGTGCGACAAAGCAAGTGCTCTACCAATTGAAGCGTTTACGCCGGCCATGAGAGATCATTGCCAAAGAGTAATTGGTCTTTTGATTGAGAAAGCTACCGGGGATGATAAGACCGAATATCTTGATGCGCCGCCTTATGAACTCTGCATTCGGCTTATTAGGGAATCATCTATGCCTCGTCCAGATGCACCCCTGGGCCTCCTGGACGTACAGCACTGGGCAACGAATCGGCTCCGCGAACTCGTTCGCCATGGCCCAGAAGCTGGGATCCGGAATACGATCTACCTAGCTTCTATCCAAGACATAGCAAGCAGAAGTTCAACTGCCTCTGGCAGCATTTGTGCACTCTATGGGCTACTGAGCCAAAATCTCGCAACCGACCTGCGTATTCTTACAGCAGAGCGTGATCTCACAAAGATAATGATTGAGGAAGTTGAATATACCAATCGCCCCCAAGAACCGAACTCAGTGTCACCAAATTTCAACAGCCCTGCCCGCCAAGCTCGACGGGACCTCCTCCTTGCAATCATTCTTAATGAGCCAGGGTCCATAACGCCTGATCTCGGTGAACGGCTATGGACTGCTTTTGTTGGGCATGGAGGGCAAAGCCCAGCGGATAGAGAGATAGCATGGCAGATACTGAATAGTGCGGCCGCCAAGGCGTCGTCAAGAAACATATTTATTGCGACGTGCTTCGAAAACTACCTGCCAAAACTTGAGCCTCAATGTTACACTATCGGATCCCTGGACTTTACTAGAGAGGCCATCCAGGCGTGGTTGCGAGGCGTACAGGGAGACCTATTGGATGAGGATACAGCATCAGGATGTCATGGGCTTGAGCATCTTTGGAGAATGATTTTGACAGCTCCATCAAATTCGATTGAAGACCCAGCTATCAACATGCTGGTTGAGCTCTATGTGGACAGTCCGATGATTCAATCAATGGCTCGACCGAGGGCCCATACTGTGCATTTGAGGCTTGTTAATCGTTGTTTGGAGCAAATGTCATATGCCGCCGGAAAGTTGAAGGGTTCTAACAATGTCGCTGCCGGTGATGATGAACTAATGGCCATCGTTTCAACAGAGCAGTCCATTGGCGAAGAAGAACTGATATTCACACGCTCACTGGTCCTCCTCCGTGAGTTTTTACGCGCGTATCAGTTAAAGCCATACTTTGCGGTGCCAAAGCCAAGACCTACAGAGCCCGGCCCTTCCACAGAAGTAAAAGGCGAGACACTGGATTTCAAATATCAAATATTTGATGGCCAAGAGCATGGCCCTGTGAGCGGTTTGGAGGTTGGAAAATCGAATACCGTGGCAGAGCTTTTTGCTATTGTCGAAATGACGACCAAATTCAAGAATTTTAAGCTCTACCATTGGGGCGCGGAAATTTCTGACAATGCGAGTACCCAAGGAGTCACATTGGAGGACCTGCAAATTGGAAAAGGCTTAGTGCTCGTTACCCGGCAGGACGATGAGCATCCACGAGGCGGTAGCCCGAAATCGAGAACGACGAGCCTGGAAGTTGAGGTCATAAACCATTTTGACGCCTTTTGGGACTATCTTGGCATGGAGGAAAGGCTTTCAAAGGAGATCTATCATTTTCTCGTCAAATTTCCGGTCTATCCTAAACTTCTCGCCGCATTTGAAGATGACACCACAGCCTGGACTGAAATATTCCCACTTGGGCAGCCTTTCAAATGCTTATATGCAGTTCACGCCCTCCGCGAAACCCTGGAGGCTCGAATGCGAGAGGGGAAGCCCGATAGCCGTCTCCTATCTAGATCACTAGGTTTGATAGTCTCTGCCATTACCAATCAAGAAGTTCTTGATAGTTGTGCCAATGAGGACCTTAGAAGCCTCCTTGCTCAAGCACTTGTCGAATGCCTCATGCAATTGCTGCGAGAGCCCATTCCAGTCGAGACTGTCACGAACTGTTTGACAACGACTCTCCTGCAGTGCCTTTTGCAGATCTTAGAGTCTGCTCGCTTGAGTAAAGCGGCGAAGAACTCCATTCAAATGGTCTCCAGTGCATTTGAGGCTATTTTAGAAGCTTCCCTTCATAGCCAGTCTTTCTGGACAAGCTTTATTACAGCACCATCTACTCCCGAGTTTGTCAGTAAACTTCTCTTGGAAGATCACCGAAGTTCATTGCGAAAGAGTATTATGAAGCAGATGACGAGCAAGTGTACCTTTACACCAAGTCTGTCTGCTCTTTCGACGCTGGATATCACTACAGCTTTCTGGCCTCTTCTTCGTGACATGATTCCCTCCGCAGTGTCACTTCCCGACCAGTGCGAAGAGGCTCTCTCTGTTGCGCTCCTGGTGTTTCGAAACCTCGCCGAGTCGTCAGTTAATAGCGTGGATCTGGACGCCTGTCT